CGACTTCTCAACAATTTTTTAGTTTTTATTGAATGTCACGATATTTGACCACCAATATATTTAATTATTTTTGTGAAATTACTCCACTAGTTTATAATAATTGTTAATACAAGATCGAATACTACGAAAAATTCTTTCTTTTCCGTCTTTTTGACATATAATTTATACAATTTAACAAGCATTTTTAAATTTTGCAAAAATTCAAACTTATAAAACAAATAAAGCACATTCTAGATTACTATTATTTTGCTAAGACGTAACATTTCAAATAAAAAAAGGTCAGTGAGTTACAAAAACACCATAAATATTTTTTTTTTATGGGGAACGTGCAAGCGGGTATTAGCGCCATCTAACGGCGTTAATGTGAACTTTCACATCATGTTCAATTAATTTATCGTCAATATTTACATCAAGGAATAATAGTGATGCTTTTTATAATTAGTACTGTTATTTTTCTTTGTTCTTTGACGGACAAATTTCTATAATAAAAAACGGAAACACCGTATCGATTGTTACGCCAAGTGGCGCCATCCGTGTAAAATTAATAACAGCCGTTGCACGTTCCCACGTCTATTTTAGCGAAATAAAACGAAAATTACCGTGAAAGTTGTTGAAGATCCTTTATTACGTTGTCATTTTCTCGATTTCTCTAGATTTTCCAGAAGACCCGGCTGGAGAAGCGACGTCAGAGAGAGACAGTGGTACTTCCATCTCTTTCTTCCTTGTAACTCCCGTTTTATTTCGCTTGTATGAGGCCGTAGATAAATTACGTCACTGTCGTGATTTTTTGGACCACAACGTGTGGCAAGTATGAATACGGAAGGATAAAGTATTGCCGTACCCCGGATTCGCAAAGCAATGATAAGAAAGTTTATAAACTTTTATTGAAGTCTCCAGTCAAAAAATTGTCAACTATTTCCACGAAAAATAAGCCGTCCAAAATGCAAACAACAGCCTTCTGAGAAAAACCTTTTTCTTTTTTCTATTTTTTCTTTCTTTTTTTCGTATTATTTCAAAGAAATAAAAATAATGACCTTTATTTCGAACCCTTAATTATCATTAATACTTATCAAGATTTAATATTTATCTTAATAAACGTATCTCGATAATTATCTTGACGTTTATAAAATTAATTGGAACAACAAAATACTACCGCTAGCAATGTCGTGTCACGTGTTTGTATCAGAATCGTATCCAAACGTGTCAAATGTCTATCTCAAAAAATCGCAAACCAAATTGTTTTGCTAAAAATTTTGGAGTGAGAGGAGTGACCCACCCCCTAATCCAACCCACCCACACACCACCTACCCACCCCTAATCCACCCCTAACCCACCCCTAACCCAACCCCTAACCCACCCCCTAACTCACCCCCATATGCCCTATAAATTTATCATAATTGTCAGTTTTAATTGTTAATTGTTGATCAAAAACATTGAAAAGATTGAAAATTGATAAATTGTTAATTGTAGATATACGCGATTAACGATTGATCAATTGTTAGTTGCTGTTTCGCAATTGACAATTAATTAATTGTCAATCTTTAATTCCCAGAATAATTAAATTTTGCCCAACACTGGTATTTAGTATTCTGATTGTCATTTTTTTTTTCAAAAATTAAAGTGATAGCTGATAATCATCACATAATTGTTATGATAATTATCGAAGAAAATAAATATCTTGCTAATTTGGAATCCTGCTCCCTAATGATTCAAATTAATCAATATCTATTAACAATTATCCCAATATCGAAACCATTGTTGGATTGTCATACTTTATGGCAGAGTCACGTAATTTAAGAACGGCACTCAATGTTCGACAAATGTCAATTGAAGTTTATGGAAGGTCAATGTCAAGTAGGGGTTTAAAGTCAAGGTCACCTTGAATACCGAACACTAATTAAAGACAACATATTTATCAAGGTCACGGCTGACCATGGGACCCGTAAAGTGCCCGTAACGTTGTTGATTTGTTTGAAAAAAAAATAAATTAACGCCATTTAAATCCGAAAAAATTGTTTCATTTCCAATGTACAGTAATCGCAAAAACCTAAGTAATCATGTCAAATTATTAAAATCAAATGTCAATCTCAATTATGACAATAAGGCGAAAAGTCAAGGTCATATTTTTGAGTCAGTAATACGAACAGTTTGAAAATTATTAGCCTTGCAAGTGTTTAGCAAAATATTATTTCCTGCCATACTTTTTATTACCAATTATTTACTAACTTTTAATAATATTAGTTTTTTTTTGTTGGAACTACATTTTACTCAACAACACTGACGAAAATGCAATACATTTTCAAACTCTGAATGGTGGCAAGGGCCCCTTCAAATTAGAAGCGCTGCAACGGCGCGAGTTTTAATTTTCATTTCACTAATTAGCGGGCCTTACACAAACAATCTATTACGCGCATGTGAAGACATTGGAAGGAAAGGGAATAGACCGCGTGATTGCGATTATCACTCGCGCAGTTTCACATGGTCTATCCTGCGCTATTAGCCTCTACACGCGCGCAAAAGAACGTTAGCTTAAAAATTGCAAACAGGTAATCGTGCACTTTCCCGCGCACAATCCTGTACGCTCCTGATCACACGCGATAGAGTGACTGCGAAAGTGGTGCGCGCGTGTCACGACACTGGAGCTACAACTGCGCTTCTAAATATTGTATGAAAATTAGTAGTCGCTCTGCTGCAGCACCACTGTGACGCTAATACAGCGCTTCTAGCTTCTATCCATCGAGTATATAACCAGAAATAGAAACGAAATGTCATTTAATTTGTTTGAAAACTATTCTGCCATATCATTACTGGGACAACTGCGCTCCGATTGGCCAGCCCGAGTTCGAAACAATTGACGGGTGTCGTCAATTGTTTCACTTCAAATCGACCAGTTAACTTGAGCTTTGCTATAATGGACGAAAATTGCAAAATTACATGTCCAATATTTAATTACACACAGGTCAGTTGTTGGCGCTGCTATATTTCAGTGCAAACGAGAGTTGATATTTATAAGTGATGTATCGCTGATGAGTTACCAGGAATGAATGGCCCTTATCTCGTCTCTATTTCTAGTTATATACTCGATGTTTCTATCTAAGGGTCTTATGGGAAGACGCTTTTAATCCGAATTTTCCACACTGTCTTTTGAAGTGAATTCTTATGCGTGTAATAGCACATCACATTTTCAAAATACTACTAAAGTTTTTTTGTTGTAGAATTTTTACTAAAGTTGTTTCGTTGTTTTATTCCTCAAGATATTTGGTATAGATTGGGCTTATAGATGGCTATATATAGGTAATGGTAATGCTACCTAATCACATTTTTTTTAAATGCATGATAGACAGCATTTTTTTTATCAGTAGAGTTTCTTGTGAAAGAGTTCGTCCAGGGAAGTACTGTCACTACCTATTACTGCCGCCAAGCAATAATGTGAGCATTACTGTGTTCCGGTTCTGCAGCGCAAAAGTGCTAATGAAATGGTCGCTGTGCCCCTCAGATTTTCCCAATGCGCACTACTTGTTCATCCCGTTACTTGGTGTTATAAAAAAATTGTAATTATCACATTTTTTTTCTCGTAGCACTTACTATGATAAAGTAATGAAAATTTTGTATTGTTACGTACTTAATCTATTTCAAAGACTTAGGGTCGTATTCTAGAACTCTAATCAATGCTCAAGTCAGGATTGCACTGGAAACACAAGCACTGAAACTACGACCCTAATGGCAGGGACTTGAGTATGATTTCGAGTGCTTTAAACCATACTCAAATCCTGACTTCCCCTCTCGTTTACGCCAGATCTCTTCGCTGTTGTCTCGGGTCTCGTCTAGCACATAACTCTCTACCACTGTACTGTTGTCTGCATACCCAAAGATACCGGGCATCAGCAGCAGGTCGTTGATATGCAGCAAGAATAGAGTAATGGAAAGGACAGATCCCTGAGGTACACCGTGAGGAGCAGACGAGGAACCATCTGCAGCTACACGAATTGGCCTAGCCTTCAGAAAATCCTATCCTTGTGGAAAAACGAACACGAATTCCGTAAGCTGGAAACTTGGTGAACAGGCAATCATGCCAAAGTCTATCCAAGACCTTTGATATATAGAGTGACACGGTAAACGATTCACCGCGTGTTTCCACAGTCTCGCCCCATAAATGTGTCGCATACGTAAGATCCCCAGTAGATCGACCACGACGAAAACCGTACTGTCGATCACTAAGAAGATCGTTATTTTCGAGGTATCTAAGGAGACAGCTGATCAATACACGCCCCATAGTCTTACAGAGCATGGAGGTGATCACAATAAGTCGATATTAGATGAATCGGCATGACTACCATTCTTAGGTACAGACTACATTTGCAAGCTTCTCGGTTTTCGGGACTTGTCCAGAACTGATAGAGAGGCGATACAGGCGAGCCAACGCCGAAGACAACTCGGGTACACAGCTCCGCACGACAATCGCTGGGATTCCGTCAAAGTCACTGGCTTTGTTGACGTCTAATTTGAATAAAGTTTTCAACTTTTTGACATATAGTGATCTCCGGCATTTCCGAGTCACAGCGAGGTAGTATAGATGGTATTTGCAAACTGGCGGGAGTTAGAAGAAAAGAGAGAAACAAAAAACGAATTTTTCTATGTGCCTGTTGCAGATGTTTGTTTATTTGTAGCTCAGTTGCCAACAGACTGGCCAGTCAGATCGAAAGATTTTTTCTTTATGTTGTTCAATCTTTGTATCAATATTTTTAAGTTTTCTATAAAGTTGTTTGTTATAAATCCTGTATTTTAGAATGTACTAGCTTAGCGTGATAGCTCTTGATATGAAAGGGTTTTTCATTTTACCTCAATGGATGAATTAATCTATAAGTTGTACAAACGCATCAGAATTCACAACAAAATTTTAATAAAAAAAACAATTCCAATGAACAAAATGTTCTATCCCTAAAATAAAGTCACAATTACGACGTCAAATTATATTTATTTATTTGAAATTCAAATCTTACCGAAATCTACGACTTTGAAAATATCTTCTCGAATCATTAGTAGGTTTTGCACCTTGAACGTCCACTTTGATTTCTTCTGTTTTCTGTCGCTTATTCTCAGCAGCTTCCACATCTCTCTTTTCCCGACTGATCTGTTCATACACTCTCTTATCCTGTACTATTGTAGTCCCCATCCGTAAATTTGATTTAGGAGAATTAGTGGTGTTCTGTGCCCGAAATTGAGGTTCAGAAGGCACTGTTCCAGATACCGTTGACGATTTTGAATCATTTTTTGGCAATTCAGATGATGAGTTACTCGGCTGCCATGTAACCCAACCGTATGCGGAAGCGTTCTCAAAAGACAATGGTAGTTTAATTTTTAGAGGATTTGATGTTGTTTTTGGTTTGATACGTGATGAGTTGCCAGAGCGTGGCCCGTGCTTAGATGACCTTAAACGGTGTGCCTTTCCACTTCTGGTGCCATGTTTTGAGTTTGCATGTCTAGTTTTCGTTCCTTTTTTTGAATGGTGGGAATTGGAGTGCGATTTTGGTGCATGTCCACTACTAACTTTAGAATCAGCTGGTGATGATCCAATAGAAGCCGATGGTGTTGGCGATGAAGCACTTTGCACTGCATCCATAGCATGCCTTTTTCTTCTTGGAGCTGCTGAAGCATCCGTTATAGAAGCATCTGACAACGAAACACCTGCACTTATAGAAGCAGTTATCGATTCATTAACGAACACTTGATTCACTTCAGAAACTTGGTCTACTGAGTTTTCAGTAGCATTCCCAGATCTATACATGCTATCAAAAATATGACTTTTTTGTACATGGTATTTTGTTGATTGTTTTATAATAGGTCTGTGCTGGGTACGATATTTGACATTGCCAGATTTAGTGGATCTATACGATTTTGGACATAGATGTTTATTGAAAAATGGACAGCTGTCCCTTTGGTATTGTTCTAATAGGTCAGAGTCCGCACAAAACTGAGTCATATTCAATAAAGCTTTGTCTACAGTTATCTTAGTGTAATTAACTATAGACCAAACAATATCCGAAACAAAGACAGGTTTCAAAGAAGGTTTCGCATCGTATGTTCGAAGAGATGCTTTGGTTTTGTTGCAATATGTACTTCTTGCGTGTTCTAACGCGATTCTAGTTACTTTGTAGACCTGAAAAATATAAAATTAAGTTAAAAACAGTAGACACTCTTCAAAGACGTGTAATGTCCCTGTTCTAGTAGCAGCAGAGTTCTTTCTGAAAGAATTTGTCCAAGGGAGACTCAATTCTTTAAGACTCGACGCCATCCACTAGCTTCTTATAATTATTGATACAAACACACTCAAAAAATTTCGAATCCGGCCGAATCAAAGGAATTTTTTCTGAGTATTCGATCTTTGTATTGATAACTATAACATTACTTTTACTTATTTTGTTAAAACTGAAGAGGAAAAATTAAAAAGAATACCAATACATACAATGAATAGAATCATGTTTATGGAATTACTTCAGCTCTTGGAAAGCCATATTCAACGGCAAGAAACCACCTTCGGAAACACCATTTGTGCAGAAGAACGACGAGCCCTAAAGGGGTAAAAGACTAGTCTAGTCTAGAGGCGTTAAAAATTAGTCGAGTTTTTTTAAATAGGCCTTAAAAGGCTAAGTCTCTTTGATCACTATTTCTGGTGTTTGAATAGTATAAGTAGACATCATTGACGTACAATTATATGGACGTAGGGTCCGCGCTAAAAAGTGTCCGCACTTGTAAGGCGCTAAAATCGTATACAGAGCGCCAAACTCCGCTTTAGTCTTCATTTGTTCGACTGACAGCGCGATACTGCGATGACATTACAATTTAAGTTTCGAATAGGTTGACTTGGGATATTTTTTTCGTGGTTTTTGTATTAGACCCGTCGTCCATTTATTTGTAAGTCAATGGTAGACATGGTAATTTTATGACACAGTGTGATGGCTGCAGTGGCCTCTCAGATATTCGGAATTTAAAACTCTGAATAGACTGTAGCCTGAACCGTCTTCTAATTATTTCCCAAGCCAATTTCCGGTAGGACCATAATAATTGTTAATTGTGTATTGTTCATTAATAACCGGCAAAATAATCATCATTAGTTATATAAAAGAAGCACACTTTTTTTACTTTATACTTTTATTAAAATGCTTAACGAGATAAAGTAAATGGTATTAAAAATAAGGAAATAGTTTTACTTTGTTTTGAAGTTTAACTTTCACGATACGCACACATTATTTGATTTTTGCAAAATAATCACGTATAAATCATATTTTAAACATATATTAATTACCTTCCAGACCATGGACGTTGCAATGCGTCCGAAACGTCGAGTTAATTAAAATATGTTTTATACGTGATTAAATCCCGAATTAAAAATCAAATCAATAGTTTTACGTCTTTATATATTTCCCACGGAAATCAAAACAACAATAAAGTACGTTGTTCAAAATTCATGCTATTATAGATTTTAAATCTAATAATTAATGTTATGTACCAGGATCTCGGCTCCGACTACCTATTTACAGCCTTTGGAGTCGAAAGTGGGGTCCCAGTGCCCTTCATCTTTACAAAATTTTATCCAAAAAACTTAATATAGACTGTCTTGGAGACCCAAGGGCCGGCTGCTACCTTGCCCACGCATTAGCATAGCAATACAAAGACGGAACGCTGCCAGCATCTTGGGCACCTTGCCGCGGGGACCCAATTTTATTCATATAATTTAAAAATCCTAGTTTTACTTTCTAGTATTTAAGTTTTTATTGTCTTTTTTAAGTTACCTGTATATTATCAAAATAAAAATAGTATCTCCATAATTAATGGGAATGGAAATTAACATTTCCGTAAAACGTGTTAAGTCCCCAACCCGCATTGGGCCAGCATGGCGGACTATAGCCTAAACCCTCGTCTGAGTCGAGACCTGTGCCCAGAAGTGGGAAGTATAAACAAGTTGATGATGGCGACGATAGTACACTCCTGTAAACTTCGGTTTTATGACTTAAACGCCTTTTCATTAGAGCTACAGATATATTGAAATTACCTCTTCGATAATCCGTTCAACATCGGATTTTATACCCAAATCCTCCAGCTCCTGGTCAAAGCTCTTCTGTGGATGTTCTGAGGGTGGCGGCGTCACATCTGTATTCGCCCTTACAGTCGGGGACGGAGGCGGCGTTATATCTGGGTTTACCCTTAGACTCCTCTCTCCATTACCTATTTCTCTTTTTCTACGCATTGTCTCGTCGTTCTTCTCGACAAGTGCATCTGGATTGGAATCACGCTTGGCTCTGGGGGGTTTTGTAATCATTTTACATTAGAAAATAAATTTAAAAGTCAATGAAATAAAATCTAATATACTATCTAGATGGACCCTGTTTAATCGACTTAAAAAAAAACTACTTTTTCTGTATATGCTACGCGACCACTAATAACTTCAGTGTCGACGTACGTGTATGTGTGCCGTGTGTATTGACGTAGATCATTACCATTTTTTTCATTCAAACGTATCACGCTTTACGGTGCAAAAAAACGTCTTAAAGAAACCTACATGTTGAGTTCAAAATTCTCCCGATGCGTGTAATGTTCTCGGCTCACAATAGAGTGACTGTGTAAAGCCGGGTCCTCGAATCTTTGACTTGCGTTTTTCGCTTGTTTTGGTTGTAGTGGACGCATAGACGCTGCTGCTCTGTGATTGGCCAGTGGTGCTGTCCTCCGCAAGCGTTCCTTGTTGCTTGCGTGGAAATATCAAGCTTGCTAGATATCAAACTCACGCAACGTAAAGCAAGCGGCCGGCGCAAGCGAGAGACTCGTGAACAGTCCTAAAGGCCTAATGGCATAACGTAACCCACGTTAGTCCTTGATCGCATATAAACACGACCATGGACCAGTCAGTCAAGACGACTTCTAACCGCGATACAATACAGCGCAGTCAACTACTACTACAGTGTTAGCACGGTATGATGGCCGTTTTGACAGATTACAAATAGTGAGGTCAAATCTCAATTCATTATCGAAAAAAATATAATCAAATGCGAGTCGCATCTATAAGTTTTTAGATTTATTATTAAGTAGAGTTTGTGTATGTAACTGCCTATAACGCAAGCTCGTGTCATGTTCACTTTACGGTTTCCTCAGTTGCGTATTTGTGTTCAGAGAAAGATGTCGAAAAAATTAAATTTATACATTTTCAGTTACATAGTGCCTCATTTTCGTCTCACAAGCTAATAGGACAAACCCCTATATTATATAAATGAATAAACTAGTATTGCAAGGGGTAGCTGATTAAAAAATTTTAATAAAAGGAAAATAAAAATGTTTACTTAATAGGTACATCAATTCGAAACTGCTTTGTTTTGCATTGAGCTTTGACGCGAGTTTGCCGGAGGTAAAAGTTGTGCTGGCCAGCGATCGCATAAGTGACGATCGTACTCGATTTCATTTTCAAAAATTTCCAATTTTGAAAACCAAATGCCGAATAAACATCCATAAATTTTACTGCACGTCACTATTGACAAAAATGCACGTCAATTAGCTCCTTCAACGTAGTTGTGAATTAATACGAAACTTGATGAGCGGACAAACGTCAAAACGGCCATCATAGCGTGCCGGTACTACAGTACCACAGTCTAACCAATGATGTTAGTACCTACTAAGGATACACATTACGATTCAATCTTTATGAAAATAGATTCAAGTGCATACGATGTAACTATTTTTTGTATCGATTAATTGTATCGAATACGAATCGGATGTACTACGCAAACTTTCTTACTGTCCATGAACGGGTTAAGACAGAACATAATATTCGAAAATTTTGTTTATATACGAAACGCGCGTTTGCATCGCCGTGTGTAACCACTCTAAGGGCGCGTTCCCATTGTCGTAACGTTTTATTTATCGTTGGACGACTCGACAGTCGTTTAGCCTGTTCCAATATCACGACTATCTGTCGTGACTGTATCGTGAATGTTTATTTTATCGGTCAATGGCTGTTGTGTCTAGCTATTCCCACTAGATTGTGACGACAACTTATTTATTAGTTTATTTATATTTAGTTTGACGAGAGAATGTTTGAGGCTGCGATTATTTGTCGTCATATTTTTATTTATTGTCGGACGACTGTCGTTAGCTCTTTCCATTGCCTTGACAGTCTGTCGTCGTAAACGACAGTTAATCGTGTTGTGAACAACATAACGGTTACCATGCCGGACTGCCACGCAGAGGTTCCGAGTTCGATGTCAGGAGAAATATTTGTATGGCCTACATTTATATCTCTCGTGAGTTTGGGTGTAATTTGTGATTGCCTATGTGTGTGTCCATGGCACCCGCGATACAGGGGATCAAGAGTAGAAATTTACTCTATAGCTGCACGAGTCCGAATAGTGCCCCGTCTGCTCACTATAGCGTGAAACACACTGAAAACGAGTGTCGGGGCGAGTCGGGTCGAGAGCGCGGCGGGTGTAATTTCATGTATTTATATGGACGACAACACAGCTCGCGCGGGCACGAGACGAACGCAAAACAGGACACGCCCGACCCGCTTTCAGTGTATTTCACGCTTTAGACGCGCATTGCTGCGATACGATATTCCTGTAGCAAGGCATCTCACAGCCAAGGTTTGAGTAACAATTATTGCGACGATCGTCAAACGTACTGGACGTATTTTTCAAACTAGGTAGCGACATGGATCGGATAAAGAGTGTTGCACTGCTGTTATTGATTGCTGTCGCTGCCTAGTTTAAGAAATACGTTTAGTGCCGTTGACGGTCGTCTAAAGAATGATCACCCGAACCGTGGCAGTGAGACGCTTTGCCACACGAAATCGCATCGCAGCAATTCGCAGTTTTGTGTTTCCACCCTAACTCGTAATATAGAGTAATCTAGCATACTAACCTCCCGAAAGGGACAATATCGTTATTCAACTCTGACGGATTATTTTCTGCTAAGTTCTTCATGTCGGGTATATTTTGGCACATTTCGATTTTCTCTGTTCGCTCTCTTTTACGGCATTCAGGACCGTAAACGATTTCTATCTTGCGGATGTCCAAAGCGGTTAAACTGCCACGTCTCTGTGACGTATTTGGATCCTAAAGGAAAAAACGAAGTTTTTTTTAAATTTAATATTAACCATATCGATGAACACACGCTAACTTAATGTTTTAGTTATTTGTTATTATTTTTGTAAGGAACCATATTTATTTGGGAAAAAAAAATAAAGAAACAAAAAACAACATAAAAACAGTACAAAAATGAAACTGTCGTAATCGACTCATCCGTAGAACAAAGATCTATTTGCAAGACTACTTGTTCTCTGGACATAGTATATTTCGTTCGTTCTACTTCGCTGTGGATGTCAGACCGACCGTTGTTTGATTTTATATTTCCGAACGAAATAAGATACATAAATTCTCAAAACACCTTTACATAGACCTTACTTTGAATAACGAAATTAGTCTCGTAACATAAGTATTTTCTTTTCGTTATAAAAGCACATCGGACTCTGTTCTTCGGATGAGTCGTAATGTTCATTGGAGGTGTCCATATGAGCCGTGTTAACCTTTGACTTATCACCTCTCAAGCCAAGGCCGTGGGTTTGTATATATAATAAAAAAATTTTTTGCTTCATAATTTAATTTTTCGGTCATCTCGGAATAGTGTTCACTAGTTTACTACCAAATTTTCGTGGCATTTTTTATTATTTAAGTATTTTTTATCGTGCAATATTATTTAATAATTACACGATAATATATGTACTTGAATATTTAAATAATAAAAATTGCCCAGGAAATTACGTAGTGAACACTAGTCCGAGCATGATCGTTTTCATTCTTTTACTTACTTTTAAATAAATTTATTTTTTTCTTTTTATAAGAAAAAAGAATTTATTAAGGTATTACTTCCCTGGACGTACTTTTTCACAAGGAACTCCACAGTTACTAAAATCTTTAATTGAATAGGCCGCTTTCTGTACCCATATACGTTTTTAGAAGGTACTCGTCGTTCAGATAGTCTCAGCTAATGTTATCGCACCTTTTAATCAACCCTTTATTCAGGATGTTATGATATTATACAAACCTTAAATAAGAAAACCCTGTGTCCATTTTTGCTGTATTCTCTATCACCAAAGTGCATCACGCTGTTGATATCATACGGCAGCGATCTGAACTCCAGGGGCATCTTAAATTCTTTCGCAAACAGCTCTGCTACCGCTGTAAAGCAAAATAAGAATTTTTTATTTATTTGTATTCAGGTTACAAAGACCCACAAGTACATACCTATATAGACCAACATCCATAATAATATAACAAAACACTAATGATTAATTATTATTTGCACGTATTGACAGCGACGTGTAACGCAACGTGGGTGCCCGGTAGCCGGCCTCGAAAACGTTGGCACATGACACCTTTCAGCCAAAACTCGTACTTCATGAAGGTTGACAGAGGATTCGCTCTGGGCATTTTGGAGGGAAAAGTGTCGGTTTTCAATTATTTTGTGAAATCTAGTTTAAAGTGGAATAGGATAGTGCTGTTGTACCTTAATCGAAGATTAAAACGCGAAATTATACGAATCTCGAACTAAAATACCCGTATCGACCCGTTCTAAGGAATCCCGAGTCAATCCAATCACGCCGCCTCAAATTGCCTATTCTCTTTGTGGCGGCCACATTTACAAAAACAATTAAACTTCATGTTTAGGCTGATGGCTTTGCCAAAGCCTTAATAAATTAAAAAAAAAGGTTGACAGATGTTGAATTGGTACTCTTACCACCATTGACTTACAATTATACGGACGTCGGGTCCGCGCTAAAAAGTGTCCGAACTTATAGGACGTTAAAATCGTATACAGAGCGTCATTCACGCTTTAGTCTTCGTTTGTTTCTTCTGACAGCGAAGCAAGCAAAATTAGACAGTACTGCGATGACATTACAATTTAAATTCAACGTTTTAGCTTTTTCACATTCCTTTACATGTCACTACGTTTAAATAGGTTGACTCGGGACATTTTTTTCGTGGTTTTTGTATTAAACCCGTCGTCCATTTATTTGTAAGTCAATGCTCACTACAAATGAATCAAAATTCAACTTGTGGCGGGATCCTAACTACTCAGTTATACAGTTCGAAATTAGGTATTCGGTTTTATTATTTCAGAAGAATATACGTATTCGAGTATACTTCAATGTTTAAATAATAAAAATTGCCCTGGAAATTAGGTAGTGAACACTAGTTCGAGAATGACCGTTTTGATTCCTTACTTATTACACATTTCGATGTAAAAAACCTTTTTTAGACGAAAATGAGGCTCCACACAATACCCACCTTGCAATCCAGTGGATTCTCACTACCAAGAACGCACATACCGCGAACGCAGCTAAGCTGACTTGGCTTTGCTCACGTAGTTGCACGCAACTAACTATGCTTTAAAAGGACTTTTGATATACGATCACATGTCACTTTTTTATATTTGTGACGTTCATTGTAAAAGTGGAATTATCTCCTTGTAATTAAATTTTGAATTAACTATCTTGTTGCAAAAAAAATACAAATATTCATTCAGTGTTTTTAACTTTTCATTGTTTAATACAAAATCGAAGAGAGAAAAGAAGAAGATGACTGTTGCATAATGAAAGGCTTTAAAACACGAGAAACATCACATGAGTGTTTTGATGCCTAACTATGTACAGTTACATACACTGCTTTATCTACACACACATTATAAGCTCTCTGTGATGTGTTCTGGAACCGCATGTTACTACTGGCGAAATGGCGGCACACAGTCGTAGTTTTTACTTTTAATTCATAGATAAACTAGAATCGGCCCTAAGTATCATATCGTTCGATATCAAGTGACGTGTGAAATTGTCGAAATTGTTTGCTATTGACATTTCATTACGAATAAAACTTCATCTCGACTGATATTAGAATTGAGGTCAAATCAAATTGCCAAAAAAACTGCCTCCGTGGCCGAACGGTTACCATGCCGGACTGCCACGCAGAGGTCCCAAGTTCGATTCCCGGGCCGGGAGAAATAGTTATGGCCTACAATTATTTCTCTCGTGAGTTTGGGTGTAATTTGTGGTGGTCTATGTGTGTGTCCATGGCACCCGCGACACAGGGTTTCCCTAGTGCGGGGCTATGTTAAGTGTGTGCGTTATTTTTTATTATTTGTTTATTAAATTGTTTCATTTTTCAGAGATGCTCGAAATTTTAATGTAATAATAAAATGGAATTCGATGTTACTATGAAGCAATAATAACATATTCACAGATAAGAAATTTGTTCTAACAAAACAGTTTATCTTTATGCTGGTCGTAATTTGCTGTTTTTGAACACATCATAGAGGGTTTATGATATACGTGTGTAGATTAAATATTTTTTTGGGATATCATAAAAAACCATAACCCAGTTTTAGAACATTGAGATTGTTTAATGATATTTCAGCTATGGATCGTTAGGGTAAGTTCCGAAAACGTTAACTAATTTTAACTGTATTAAAAAGAGAATTTTGTGCTCTATCTTATGCTATTTAAAACGGATATTTGATCATTTGTCACTTAGCCACATTTTAGTTAGTGAACGGCAGATATGTTAGAGTAGCTGCTATGTTCTAAAACATTGAATATACCTTTGAATTATATTGAAGTCGAAATATGAAACATACGAAGTGTTATAAAACTTTCCTTTTTGGAGAGACGCATTGACTACGAATTAACATTCTCTCCTTAAAGGATATCATGGATAAACGACAGAAATTGATCACACAGACGGGTTCAGGGTCACGAGCATATCGATATTAAAGCAAAGAGAGTTTAGCAGTAGAACTCCTTGTGAAAGAGTTCGGCCACGGAACTACTGCCAGCTTACTTATTTCTGCCGACAAGCAGTAATGTCAGCAGTATTGCGTTCTTTGAAGGGTTAAGGGTGCTGGTGAAATTACAGGCACATGGGACTTGTCAACTTATGTCTCAGGGTGTCGGGCGCAGTGGCAGTGCCCCTCAGATCTTTGCGATTTAAAGCTCTAAGTGGCACTGCAACTGTTATGGACAGGCGTGTCGCTTACCACCAAGCACACGACTTGTTCGTCCAGTCACTTAGTATTATAAAAAAATATAAAATGGGATACCCACCATTTAGCAAAAAAATAGGTTTCTCTTAAAATATTGAGTTACACGACTTTTACTATGAAAAACACATTTTCTATTCCTGTACTCTGTAATCGAATGGTTTGCATACCGGTTTTCTTGGTGTCGCCATCTCTGAGGTCCCGGGTTTGATTCCCGGTCGGGTCAGTGTAGAAACTAACTTTTCTATATTGGCTCGAGTCTGGGTGTTTGTGGTACTGTCGTTGTTTCCGATTTCCTTAATACAAGTTCTTTAGCTACTTACTTATAAAATCGGAACAACGTATGTATGTGATTGTTTAATAAACCAGGGCGCTCTTTTTAGCGTCTATGATACTCGCTACAAAACTGAACAATTTCGTTATAGTTCAGGACACAGAAGTTCCTTAAACGCGTCACTATGTTTCTGAAATTATTAAAATTCAAATTATTTCTTAAATAGCATCTCGAAATATTATATAACAGGTACAAAAGTGTAAACCATTTGGCTAAAAAGAATTATTTAAAAACAATATCAAATATGACGCTACTCAAACGCTGTGCTGCGTCCTGATTGGTTAAAGTATAAGCGGTACTTGACCAATCACGGTCACTTCTACTCCATCTCTTTGGTTTTTTTGTTTCGTAGCATTTGTTTGTTTGAGTTTGAGTTTCTTGTCGTGGATTGTTTACAAAATATACATTAAATATTGTTTGTGTTTCATATCTATCTTAGATTAGTCTAAGATACGGTATTTGACACGGTACTTGACTTTAAAAACCCTAATTATACAACGATTGCATAAAATGCTATTAACGTACGATCACATATCTCTTTATTACACCAAGAATACGATTTAGTTTGATCGTAAGGGCGCATCGCCATTATGTCGTGACGACATATAGTAGTGCAGTTTAAAGTGTCGTGGCTTGTATATTTAAATTAAGTAAAATACGATTAATTTTCGTTCACGACTTTTTTAGTCTGTCGTCGTAACGTTACGACGACAGACTGTCGTGCCAATGGGAAGAGCTAGAACGACAGTCGTCCGACGATAAATAAAACATTACGATATAATGGGAACGCGCCCATATGACGACTGTCGAGACAATAGAGAGCTAGAACGACAATCGTCTGACGATAAGTAAAATGTCACGATAAAAATGTGATAACAGATAATCGCAGCTACTATTGTTGTCTGGTTTTATTTATCGTTGTCTGCACGCGCACCGCTAAATTGTCACGACGGTTGTTCAACGATAAAATAAAAATCCACGACGTAGTCAACAGATAGTCGTGATATGGGAACAGGCTAGACGCGACCCTGTATTCCCACTAGTTCAGTAGTATAGTTCAGTTGATTGAACTAATTAGATATTTTTCTCGTTTTTTCAATTGAAAATAAAACAAGCTTTTGCCCCTGGTTTAGTAAAAAGTTTTTTATGTCGTTTATTCCCACCAATAATAATAATAATAATAATAATAAAAAGATTTATTGCCTCATTATCGATACAAAAACATAATGTACAAAAATCTTATAAAAAGGTCTGAGGCAAAAGGCAATGGCGAAGCTTTTTATTGACTCAGCTCCGTAAGCCTTGCTCAACACTGCCTTTCTGCCATTCCCCCTTTCCCTGAGATCTAGAACGGGACATACAGTAATAGGAGGAGGTATAGCAATTAAAAGAAAAACTTATATACAATATGAAATAAAAAATATATTAGTGGCATCTGTACGTGTGCGTGTATGTGTTTGTGTGTGTCTCAGTGTGTCTCTCTGTATGTGTATTCGTGTGAGGAGTGTTGTATGAGTGCGTGTGGATGTATTTATCTGTTATGGGAAGTTGGAGTGAATGTGAATGAGTATGTCCATATTAGTTTAGAAAGTTTTTAAAAAATCTTTCCAGCAAGCGTGATTCAAATACGTCGCAACAATTTGTTTTTTTATCAAAGCCATTTCATATATAACTTTGAAATGCTGTCAGTGGCTGTGTGTCTATCTCTCTACACTGTAAATAATTCCAATCTTGCTTGCACAGTTGAAAATAAAACAAGCTTTTTTTGCTGGGTATGGCCCATATTTAATTTTTTTTTCGTTCAGGTTCACCCAGATGTCACCGCTGTCACAATGTGTTATGTTCGGTGAATGGTAGTACGGATCTGGTAGGGTATCAAGCCCATATTAAATAAACAAATGAAGATCAACATTTCATCAGTTCAGTCAACTGAACAAATGGGAAAAAGAATCTCGCTAGTTCAGTAAACTGAACTGGACAACTGTACTGGTGGGAATAGATAGGGACGCGACAGTCGTTCAACGATAAATAAAACGTTACTAAATAATGGAAACGCGCCCTTAATATCTTTTTAAATTAGTGACTGTGTACTTTGACACACGTCGTCGCCTTTCAATGTGTCGTTTTATTTCATCGAGTATATAACCAGATAGATAGAGACGAAATAAGGGCCATCCATCCCTGGCAACTCATTGGGCAAATGGGCTATATATCAGTTTTGAATATCAACTCGTTTGCAATAAAACCACAAATTGAAAACTGAAATAGTACAGCGTCAACAAGTGATCTGTGTGTACGTCTCCGTATATTCCAAAAATATTCTGTATTTGTGGTAATATAGATAATATATCTAACAATGGGGGCTGTTCCATTCGATGGTGTGGGAAAAACAGCAAAACATCTAATTACAAAACAAACGGATTCACATTTGATCGGTAATCAAATATTGAATATGTAATTTTGCAATTGTCGTCCATTATAGCAAAGCTCAAGTTAAACTGGTCGATTTGAAGTGAAACAATTGACGACACCCGTCAATTCGGGCTGGCCAATCGGAGCGCAGCTGTCACCGTAATGATTTTGCAGAATAGTTTTCAAACAAATTAATGACATTGCGTCTCTATTTCTGGATACATACTGGATGTTTTATTTATACTACTAATCTTTAATTTTACTAAAAACTTTATTAATGTCTCAAAAAATATCCACTTAATACATAATAAATTGCTATGAGCCCATAAAATAATCTTATCAAAGAAAGATTACACAATAAACCTTGAACGTACAATAGTCATTATCAGTCTACATTATTTACATTTATAATCACTAAGATTATAGCAACCTCCAAAATATATTTTAATAAACTAGTTTCGTGTTTACTATGTGCAGGTGTGATGTTGTACATTTATATAATAATAAACGTAATATATAAAATAACAAAGTCAAATACAACAAATCTGTGTGTATTTTGATATAAAATTGTAACATAATTTTTTTTTTAATACAAACAAAATTGTAAATATGAAAAATCTATAACACAAAAAGTATAGCAAAGAGGGAAAACAATAAAACATTCCTATTTAAATCAATAAATCATTTATACGGATCATTTCATTCCGTGTCATTAAAAAACTCAACTTCAACTTTTGTATCTATGGCTCCGTCGTTTTGCTCGAAAAAAAACGAAATATTGAAATTACATGCACATGGGACTTGTCAACATAAGTCTTAGGGTCGTATTCTAGAACTCTATTCAATGCTCAAGTCAGGATTGCACTGGCAACACAAGCACTGGAAATACGACCCTAATGGGAGAGACTTGAGTATGATTTCGAGTGCTTTAAACCATACTCAAATCCTGACTTGACTTTAAACCATACTCAAATCCAGACTTGAGCATTGAGTAGAGTTCTAGAATACGACCCTTAGGGTGACGGGCGCAGTGGCAGTCCCTCAGATATTTGCAATTTATAACCTGATTTTTTTGATTTTGATTTTAAAATCTGAAGTGGCACTGTAACTGTTATGGACAGGCGTGTAGTTCACCATCAGGCACACGACTTGTTTGGCTCTTGATCTTATTAAAAAAACGGACGGTTCCTATTCCTTTCCAACTCCCAGATTCCACTGAATTAATGGTATTTAAGGAATTAAAACACCAAATTACTTCATTTGCTTGAATGAAATAAATAGGATCGCTCCCTCTAAAGACCGAGCAGGCACAAGTACAACATGACCAATATAACAAATATACAGACAGGGTTATTTGGTAAAATACTAACCTCGTAAAACTATATCAGTAACATCATTATCAATAGCTTTCGTTCCGTGATTTTTTTGAAAGCATAATAAATTTCCTAGATTTGTTACTGTATATCATGGTAATAAACCATAGTACATAATAGTCGTTACCATATTTATTAAAATAAATATAGCGCCACACTAAGCATACAATGCGTCACGGGTGCCATGGACACACATGGGCAACCACAAATGACACCCAAATTCACGAGAGAAATAAATGGAGATCAGACAAATATTTTTCTCGGCCTGAGAATCAAACCATTCGGCCACAGAAGCAGTTTTGTTGTACTATCTGATAATTTTTAGATAATTATATATTTGGTAGTAAGATAGTAAGTTCTAACGGGCAAGCGTCCTGCCCGATGACCCCTACGCTATCGCTTTCGTTTTTACCGCACAGACCACAGTTTAATTCACAAACATCTGTTTCAATATTATTATTTTTGTACGAAAGACACGAAAGAAAAGTTATTGTATAAGTGTTAGTAATATAGTTCTGCAAGAGCACTTTACAAATAATCCTGGATTAAAGCCTAATAACATACAATATTAGATTGTAATATCAATAAAACAAAACAATATCACGTGTGTTCTGTTGCCGGATCCGCTGAAAATCAGCATCGTAGCACCATAAGTGAGACGACAATAAGCTGAGTGGGTCACGGTTTCCTTGGCAGCACAGCACACACGCGTTGTACTCTTCTATATATTTGTAGTTAGTACTATTTTTATTGTTATTATTACAAAATGCATGTGTACTGTGTTGTCTACTTAAGGAATAAATGTTTTCTATTCTATTCTATTCTATTGTCTCTGATTTCTCAAGTCAAGAGACGAGGTAGAGTTTACCCTGTTAAGGTCTCTGCCAAGCAGTGGCGAGGCGTCCATATAACTCGATTTTCATCGGCTTGCCTAATATATTCCATGTATTATCAAATATTACATTTTGTGCTAAATTTAAGTGTTGATTAAGTTAACCAGTGAAATGAAGTGTACTAGAAGTGTACTAGGTACCTTGTGTGTTAATAAGTTGTGTTGAAGTGTTGCCAAGGCGCCACTTTTTCTTAAGGCAGGTGATTTTTTATTGCTCCGGTTTTACTAACGACAATGTTCACGCCTCGCTATTGCAGTCAAGATAACGCAAAATATAAGAAAGATATAAATCCATCAAAACACAAAACCCTAAGCACCTAACCTTTGAGCTCCTCGAAACAAGCGATAATTCGCTCATAAATATATAAAGAAAAGAAGATTAAATAACATATGCCTACATTAAGCTTTTCATTCTTAAAGTTACCTAAGTAACCTCTACCTAGGTAACCTCGTTTATCATTTGTATAGCAATTTGGTTTGGAAAACAACTATAGCAAATCTACCTTTTGGGTCTTAAAGCCTTTTATCCTCATTTGAAACATTGTAAAGAAGTAATTACAATAAAACTTTATGCACATGACACAGCGACAATACAGGAACAGCAGTTGGATCAGTCAAAGGCAAAATCCCAGCTGCTCCCGCAATATCCAGGTGCGTATACTTGACATTCTTGTCTTCTAAATTTGCAACCTTGATCAAAAATCCAGCTGCTAATTGGTGATGACGCGTTTTTGTGTTCATATCTATTTGTACCAAGTCGTCTCCTTTGATCTTGCCCTCATTGACTGTGAGGTCTTCAGGTCTTATTATGGATACTTCAACACCCTCTCCAACTCTTGATCCACTGAATTGTATCCTGCTAGCATGGTTTGTTGCTCTTGCACTATGGTTGTCCATAGCAGCTGTGTAGTTACCATAAGATCTATACGCATGGCCGGTCAAAGTTGCTATAGTGTAAATATGTGGATTCAACTCTTTACTAGCAATTTCTGATACTTTAAACAAAGCATCTGCCATAGCAAATCTTCCTTCTGCATCTGTGTTGGTAACTCTCACAGATTTACCACTTTTAGAGATTATAAGCTCATCAGGCACATATGAATCTTCACCTATGGAGTTTCTACAAAGGCAAAGGACACCAACAACTTTCAGATGAACTGGTTTTAATAAAGAACAGGCTTTAACAAATCCAGCTACGGCTGCAGCACCGCTTTTATCCCTTGACATTCCAGTCATGAAGTCACCAGTCTTAATATTGGCGCCTCCGGTATCATATGTTACTCCTTTACCTACAAGCATTATTGTTTCAGTTACTCGTGTCAAATCTGAAGGTTTGTAAAGCAGTTCGACAATTTTAGGCTTATGTCTGTCAATTTGGTTTGCAGCTCTTGACACGGCAGCCAGCAGAGGAAATTCTTCTTGAATTACTTTATCATCATCAATAACGTTGATTGTTACGAAATTATTACCAGAAAACGCATTTCTGATATAGCTGACTATGTTTTCTGGACTCATGCGTTCAGGATCACCGCCAGCAATGTCTCTTGTCAATATTCTTGAATTTTCAAGAGCAATAGCATTACGGACGACCTTTTCAAAACTTTCGCTTTCATTCTCTTCAGCGTGCAGGCCAATTTTGAAAAAATGCTTGCTAATGTTGCGTTCTCTCATTTGAAGAGGCTGGTACAATGCTTCTAAAGCACCGAGTATACACACCAACTGCCCGTCAGGAAAATCTACAGCATTCTGAACAATTAATAAAGGTTTTTTCATACCAGCGTCTAAAGCCCTTTCAACGCCTTTCCTTGCAGCTTCCTTCACCACTCCGACATCGTTGTAAGGTGTGATTTTACCAGTTGGCGAAATTACAAGTCTTCCACCAGTTACATAATCACAATTCCACACAGTTGGTGTTTTTTCAACATGTTTATCTACGATTGTAATTTTATGTATATAACTTGCAATAAGTCTTGGTTTTGGCACGTTACTTTCTTCGGGATATAAAATTAAAATTACACCATCGTAGTCAGAAGCTTGGATACTTGTTTCGATAAATATATTTTCGTACAGTTTAAACTCGGCAGTCGCCATTTTGTCACAAGTGTTTGGAAACAACTAAATGTAATTACATCGTTATCTATATTTATATACGTTGCCAGATTTACTTGGACTTATTATTTATTTTACTTGGTGTATAGATAAGTTCTAAAATTATCGCTGCAATCTTTACAGCATTTATGATACTTATTAGGTATTGTTCTTAAATGGTTGTTTGCTTTGTTCAATTTAATGTGCAAATAGAAATATAATTTATTGTATACCTAGTTATTGTCTTGTCTTTTTGTTAACAAGTCACTTTATTTACTTGTTGATTAGGCTGTGAAAATAGGATTTTATTTGTACTTAGTAAGGTTACTAGAGGTGAATGACAAGTAATCTCTTTTGAGTATGTCCAATTCAAAAAGAATACTGGCCGTAACGTATTCGCTTTTCTTTTTATTTTCAAAATAAGCGCTCTTTTGTTTATTACGTTTCGTTTTGCATAGACAAACAATGGAAAAGCAATGCATTTTAATATTAGCAACCTATTGAGCAAATACATATTTCTCCATGTGACGGGATTTTTGTTTCTGGTTTATCATTTTCTAATTGGTTCTATCATAAAAACACGAAAAAACTTTATTTCTGTGCAAAAACTTTGCTTTTGTAGTCAGGACAACGAAATTTTTTTTTTAATTGAATAATTTAAATTTAATTTTTTAATTGAAATATTTTTTCTTATTTAATTGATATTTGCGGAAAATTTTCGTTGTCCTGACTACGATAGTAAAATTTTTGCATGGGGAAAAAGGTTTTTCACGTTTTTATGATAGAACCAATTATAAAAATATTAAAGAAACGTACAAATTTACGGGTTTCTGATTCAAAGACAAAAAAGGAACATTATATTTCAAATCAATAGTACATTTCAACCAAAATTGTACAAATTGATGACAAAGAACCTAGAAATGTATACATTCAGTAGCAGTAGAGCTCCTGTACCCTCTTTCCAACAAAACAATAATCATTAAAATCGGTTCACACAGTTATCACGTAACGTACATATTAAAAAAAAACATAAGGGCGAATTAAGAACCTCCTCCCTTTTTCGAAGTTGGTTAAAAATGAGCTTTAATATATCTAGTTCTTGGGTTTTCGCGATTGTTACACGTAAGAAATGAAACTATTTCCGGATTTAAATCGCGTTTATTTGTTTTTTTAAACAAACCGACGTTTCGGGTCGTTTACAGGTCCCATAGTCACGATTGACTGAGGTGGTACAGTCATCAACCAATTATGTCTAATATTAATGCAAACCACCCTACTTTTTCACTATAGTTACAAAAGTTATTAATTAAATGCCTTATTTTAATTTTACAAAGAAACATTCCAATTTACGCTACATTAAGTTTTACAAAATATTTTATTGAATGAATTTTTATTAAGTTCAATTTATTATTAATTAATAATAGAAATTAGAATAAATTAAAACATATTAATTAGTACTGCAGTAATAAAGCAGTAGCAGTAAATCCCAAATAGACATAAGAATGTCTGTTTGGGATTTTTCATCAGAGGAAATACTGGAACCCAAACTGGTGGTACGGAGAAACCATTTTCTTTGTTGAAATTAGGATGTTTTTTTAATTTCAATGGCCTCTCGCAGTATCCTGGGTAGATAACGGACTTCTTTTGCAAGGACCTGGGGTTTGTCAAACTTCATTGAATGTGTAGGTTTATCCATGACATGCTAGCAGACTGCAGACTTGTTTACGCGACGGTGTTTGACATCAGCTATATGTTCTTTGACGCAGGTACAAATACTTCGCTTCGTTTGTCCAATGTAAGAGAGACCGCACTCACAGTCAAGCTTGTAAACTCCTGCATCCTGTAAGGGGATGTTACATTTCATGGGTCTCAGGAACTGAGAGAAATCTTCCTCAGGGGCTTGAAATAGGTCTTGATAGATGCACGCCTGAGGACTCTTCCGATCTTGTCTGTAACACCTCTCACGTAAGGTAAAATGGCAGGTCTTCGTTCGACTGTTGGTGGTTTCACACGGGGCCTGCAGCATTGGCGTGGAATCTTCAACTTATTCGCATGTAGGACATGCTTTATATGCTGAAATTCCCTGCCAGATGATTTTCTTTTAATTAAAAGAAATCCTAATAACACCTTAGGCCTGTATTTCGAAAGAAAAGCCATACAGATAGGTACCTCAATGATAATTCTCATCACCATCCCAGCTAGTTAGCTACCGTGGGCAAATGTTTGTTTCAGAGAGCACATGGTGTCTGCGATAGCAATCATCTGTCCCATCACTGATACATATATTAATAATAATAATAATCAACAGCCTATCGTAGTCCACTGCTGGACATAGGCCTCTCCTAATGCGCGCCATTTCGCCCGATCCTCAGCTCGTTGCATCCATCTGCTGCCACCAGATCTTCGCAAATCGTCACTCTATCTGGCCAGAGGGCGTCCTACTCTGACTACTACTCAAGAACTCGCTTCCCCCATCGGTTATCGGTTCTTCGACAGATATGGCCAGCCCATTGCCACTTCAGCTTGCTTATTCTACCAGCTATGTGGACGACCTTAGTTCTCTGTCGGGTAACCTCGTTACCTACCTTGTCCTTCATAGACACTCCGAGCATATCTCGTTCCATTGCTCGCCGAGCACCTTTTAACTGGTGAACTCTCCTTATATTAACAAACAGACAGAATATCTCTTCGTTTTTATTAATAATTATCGCGGATTTAAACATTCATGACGTCCTAGTTAATAGTTAGTACCTAAGTATATCAGATATGCGTTAGGTAATTCTTATATCCATAATTTATTTATTTTTTAGATTAAATGGTAAGTACCGATAATGGTGCTAAGGATTATTGTTAATCTATGTGTAAACTAAAAACACTATCTATATAAAACAATAAGTGCGCATTTGACCTCCATCTCACCTGATGGAACATGCACACCTAAATAATGCCTATTCACTCTCGCTTTTTTTGTATTATTTTTTATTTTACAGATCCGTAAATACATACCTTATTTAATTTAACATATACATAATAATATTATAATAAAATACTAACACTATTTATTTATTTACTGACCGCGACGTGTGTCGCAACGTGGGTGTCCGGTAACAATCCTCGGAAACGCCGTTTATTCAAATTCATACACAAAATATTTTATTTCGCCAGTATCATAGCATAGTACACGAGTCACAAAAATTATATGAAATTTAATAAAACATTATAAAATTCAATACATTAAATATAAATTAAAATTAAGAATATTATTATTAATTCTATTTATTGTATCAGAGGGGTATCAACCGCTACTACTATCCGCCTATGTGCTTGTCCGCATGCAAGCACATCCACTGGTGCAGCAGCTGAGAATCCCACCGGTCAATAAAAATTTTGATGACACCCTTCGGCCAAAAGTCCTACTTCATGAAGGTCGACAGATGTTGGCCCTATCACCACAAATGAATTCAAATTCACATTGAAACGGCCCAAATTATAACGTTCAGGCAGAGAACAAAAAGTAACGAGAACGAACACTCTCCGCCCCTCCCTATCTTTAGATATCGCACCACGCCCCGCACATTGACGGTCACATTGACGGAACGGCAATAAGGCTATCGGCGAGCCGTTTTCGCGCTAACGGCTTTGATTATTTGAATATAGTTTTCATTTATTCATTACGAAATACGTACGTTAATATATAACATCATTTTACGTTATTATTTATAATGGTTGTGAATTGTGCTGTATCCACAGCTGTTTATCATCATCTAAACGGGCTAAAGAGAGGATTTTTACGTTTTCCGAAAGACGAAAAAAAAACTTGTCTGAGACTCATTCAGTTATTGTTTTCTTCATTTATTTAGTGCAGAGTAATACATAATATAGATTTATTCTATCAATATAATGAGACGCCTTAACTTCGTGAGCTAGTAGACAAGGGTTCTCGAATTTTCAATTTGTATTGCCGATAAATATTACGTAGTGATATATCTAATTATTAACCAGGTAGTTTTTAACTGCCTCCGTGGCTGAACGGTTACCATGCCATGCCTGACTGCCACGCAGAGGTCCCAGGTTCGATTCCCGGGCAGGGAGAAATATTTGTATGGCCTACATTTATTTCTCTCGTGATTTTGGGTGTAATTTGTGGTTGTCTATGTGTGTGTCCATAGCACCCGCGACACAGGGTCTCCCTAGTGCGGGGCTATGTTGAGTGTGAGCGTTATTATTATTATTATAATGATAAACTTGGACAAGCAATTTCAAATACCTTGGTTACCTTATTTAAAAGTACCTGTCCAAAATATAACATTTTAAGGGCGTTTAATATATTTCTTAAATAAATCATCAATGTTATTCTAGTTAGTAAATTAATGAAAAATATAGTATTATATCGATATAAATACCTAATGAACATGTGTAATTATTAAGATTCTATTAATAGAATTATAGATAACAAATTCGCGTTAGAATTTTCGCTATGTTGCCGTTCCGTCCGCGTAACGTAATAGTGCGAGAAGTGATGGGTAACCCTGCCACTTCACGCACACATTTCCGCGTGTGCAGACAGCGCCTTGCTGTACGTAGTAGTAGTAGGTAAATAACTTTCGACCGATGTATGGAGTGTCCGGGGTGTGGTTCAGGGAACAAGTCTGCAGGCAGGGAATTCCACTCCATAGCCTTTCGCCATATAAATTATGAAGTTGAACGATTCCACCGAATCTTGTATGTTAAACAGTGTGTTAAAGAAACCCAGCCTACGTCCAGTACCTTAATGATGAAAAGGGGAAGGTGGAATTAAATCGTGCAAGTCTATCGCACACTCTCCGTAATATATCCTGTGGAATATCCATAAGTAAGCAACTTTACGGCGGTGTTCAAGGCTGCTTCGACTCTACTATGTTTTTATATTTTTTTTAAATATCAATTGGTAAGCTACACGCCTGTCCATAACAGTTGCGGTGCCACTCAGAGCTTTAAATCGCAAAGATCTGAGGAACACCGCCACTGCGCCTGTCACCCTGAAACATAAGTTGACAAGTCCCATGTGAATGTCCCTTACCCTTCAAGACCGAAACGCATTAATTGTCACATTACGTAAGATGGCAGTATCTACTTCCTTGGACGAACTCTTTAACAAGGATCTCTACTGCTAATAAAAAATCCGAAACATTAATATTACAATTACTGGTTGCACCATCGATCAAACGCGGGCTAAATAAATCCACCCCCGGGCCTGCAAGGGGTACGCGGGGTGTTGGGGGGTCACGCGAATGACGGAATTCGCGATTCTCGCCGCGCGCGCTTTGGGCACTGCGACTCGGAACGACGGCGGAACGAATTGTGCGCGCGAGTACCTACTTTTTCTTTAATACAATAAGTGTAATACAGTTCGCTAGTTTTATTCAACTGGATACCCCTTGTAAGCGATAGGGCTCTAGTTCCCACTATATGATCCGGCTCGAAGGACCAATTACATTTAGTCACAATTTACTTATTTCCGTTACTAACTACTGAAAATAACAAAAATGAATTCATCTCACAGACCTATATTTACTAATTTACCCTTATCGTAAATCACAAAACTAATGGGCATCACTAACAAGTTTGAGGAATATTACTTATTCACATGACAATATGAAACTTTTTTTTATATAATATCAACTGGCAGGACAAACAACTTGTGCACCTGGTGTTAAGCGACACGCCCGTTCCTAACAGTTGCAGCCGCTAAGAGCTTTAAATGGCAAAGACTGCCACTGCGCCCGACACCCTGAGACATAACTTGACCAGTCCCATGTGCCTGTAATTTCACCAGCACTCAACATAACATAACTTTAAAAATCCTTATTATGCAATCGTTGCTTAATGAGTCCAATGCCGGTTTCTAGTAGTCGAGTGGCTAAGTAACAGGTACGAGATTTTAAGACCTGGATTATAAGAAAACCTTGTATCGCGGGTGCCATGGACACATACATATACAACCACAAATTACACACAAACACGCGAGAGAAATAAATGTAGACCCTTAGAATAATAACGCATAGAAACCTAGTCCGCACACGCTGAGTGAGGCAAATTGATGCGCGCCAAAAGGGCCTACACTAAGGTCAACTTGCACCGCGAACAGATCAAGAATTTTAGCTAAAAATGACGAAATGTGCGGTAAATTAGTGTAAAAATACGTCAGACAAACATAAAATAGATACTAACATCACATTCCACAAGGAAGTAAGGCGTTTCAACTTGTATTTTTATATAAATATTCACTAAAATCGAAAATTAACCTACTACTAAAACTAGCCTACATGAATTTGATTTTTGCCTTACTTGTGACAGTTCGTTTGATATGAAACTATCATTCTATGCGTTATTATTCTAAGTGTAGACCATACAAATATTTCTCCCGGCCCGGGAATCGAACCCGAGTCCTCTGTGTGGTAATCCAGGATGGTAACCATTCGGCCACAGAGGCAGTTATTATGTAATGATTGCATACTACTTATTTACGAGTAAATTAAAATAATGAAACACGACCAATAAAATTAATGTATATTTTGTTGACAATCGAAACGAAAAACAAATGCTACAAAACAAAAAACCAATGAGATAGAATATAAATGTCCGTGATTGGCCAAGTACCACTTATATTTTAGCCAATCAGAAGGTAGTAGAACGTTTGAGTGGCGTCATATTTGATATTTTAATTAATATTTAATTATCAAAAATACGACGTTCTTTTTTTGGAATTCATTCTATACTGTACACGGATATATATTTTTCAATTCAGTAGCGAGTGCCATAGACAATAGAATTTTAGTTCAGAACTAAAAAGAGCTCCTTTGTGATATGGTTTATGAAATTATAATTAACATAAAGTAAGGGAGTATGAAAAGCTTACTTACTTTTCATCATCATGAGTTTTATAACTATACCACGAGTCAGAAATATCGCATAAACAGCGACATTTTCTAATTAATGAAATTAGTCCTTTTGTTTAAAAAACGCGTTAACTCAACAATACAAGATAATGTGATTTTGTTACACATAAGTATATTTATTACTGAATATACAGAATTCTTGTTTGTACAGAAAGTTAAAAATAGCACAGATGCGGTTTTAAACAGAGTTTGAAAACGTTTAACATAACCTCAAAATGTTGGGTATAAACTCAAATATTTGTATATCGTATCAGAATCGAGGAAGTTAATTTAGCTAAACTAAATAATAATGTGGATATTACCTTCGGAACTGATTATATTTGAACATGCCCATTATTTATTGAAATTCGAGTACATTGGCGATAAATTATTATTTCCTATCAAGTATTTGCTACAAAAAATAATATTGTAGTTGTGTTACGTAGGTACTTATTATAAGTAAAGATATAATAAGAAATAATTAAGTACTTTAGCCATTTAAAAAGTAAACATGAGACAACCTATATATCTATCGATATCTTGGATTGTTTAGAAAATAAACAGTAAAAAAATGTTATACGTATTGAAGACGAAATGGGCATGTCCATACTAAGAAAATTTTAGTTAAATTACCACCCTTACTTCCGGTCATACATATATCCGGTTATACAAAGTGTTCTTTTGTAATGGGACAGTATGGGGAAATCCGAAGCCATAAAAGATACAAGGAAACTGCCCTAGGAACCATTAAGTCTTTTTTGTGAAAACAATTTTGGCATAGTCAGTTTTTTGGTCTTCTGTTTCTTCTTCTCCTGTCTCGATTTTTTTCGTCTCAATGAACAATGAATTGATCCCCTCATGAAACTGACTCGATCAGCAATTCACGCTTGACCAAAAAAATTACTATGCCAAAATTGTTTTCACAAATAAGACTTAATGGTTCATAAGATTTCCTTGTATCTTCTATGGTTTCGGATATCTTCAAACTGTCCCTTTTAAAAAAAGCACTGCTTATTAAAAGCTTTGGTAAAAGATTAAAAAAATAAATTAAATACATACATGGCTCAAAGTTCTCTGGTTGAATCTCGATGTACAGATCTCTGATGGATCGATTGTGCTCGAAGGGGAAGCCGAGAGCCCTCAGTACGAGCATGTCTATCTCAGGAGCTCGCAGACAGTCGTAGCCGATCAGCAACCTCTGTCGAACATCGCAATTTTCCAACATAAGAAGGTTTAAGGTTGATTTGTTGGCCAACATGTCGCACAGCTATTACAACAGTGTTGTAAGTCAAAATATGTGAAAATGAACGTTATATCGCATTTAAACGTAATACTTGATTCCCTACACATCAATAAAACCGTCGTTAGAATATTGTAAAAAACAATTGAAAGAATGAGACAACTGAACAAAAAATGAGGCACTTTTAGATATTATTAAGTTTCTAAGGAATTTCACTGGCACTTTGTAATGTCACTGCGTATCAAAGTTGTCTGTTTATAATAATATATTGAATTAACACTGAATAAATCACTATTATCTTATAAAATGAATTAATTTTGCGGAACAAGAATTTATGCATCCGAGTCGAACGGTAGCTCGCGAAAGAGGAGCTCATAGAGGAGCTCATAGAGGAGATCATATATTTGGCAAGTAGGAAATAAATTAGATGGCTGTTATAAACTTTAAGAGGGAGCAGAGGAAAAATTCCTAATCTTCGATTTGATTTTAGAGGGGTATATCCACTTTAAAGTTAAAAATAAAATATTGTATGAGTAACTACACGATATATTCAAGCATAGACACTGATCAGAAACATAAAACAATAAAGTTTTCTCGATAGATAAAAATCACGAAATGACCTCTAATTTTCACGTTTTTACGATTTATCCTCGAAATGCTACAGGTCATTAGGACAACAATTAGATAATTAATTATATTTATGCATGATCGACAACTGTCACTACAGATTTTTTTTTAATCCCTTTAGTTTTAGAGTTATTCCGCTAAAACGAATTTGGTATTTTTAATGCGCAAAATTCAACATCTCCTATCGCATGTCACGCGAACTTCAGGCATATATTTGTTTCACAAATTTAGGCGGAGCCAACGTCAAAACTTTTTTGGCATGAGAGCTCTTAAGCTATACATTCGTTTTTCATAGATCCTGAAAAACACACTTTTTGAGTTAATACGCTATTGTATCAACAGTGCTATATCGTCACCCTGAATAAAATTCATAATGGTACAGAATTCCTAAATTTCATATAGGTACATTAAATTCGTATAATAATTCCTAACCAGTGCAGCATTTTATATACATGCCATTTATGTAATAGTTCCTATTGTTAGTAATTTTTCTACTTGTCTCTAGTTAAAATCTAGTTACAGCAGGCGAGCTGTGACATATGCTGAGTTGAATCCATTTCAGATTATAGGTAACTATATCATTAATTTATTTTGTATTGTTATTTGAGTCTGCATAAGCTAAATAAACATTTCTTTCTTTCTCTATAATTTATAGGTTCGCCTCCCGTGGACGTGCTGGGCAGAACATTATGACCGTCGCTGCGAGCAGATGTGACGTATGCAGCTACACCTACCTACCTACCTAAATTGATAGAACGGTGCGCTGGAATTATATTCGCACTATCACAATCATAAATTAAAACATCTTCAAAATCTTCTATCTTTATGTAGATACCAAATATCAATTAATAAGCCACGTGCGCTAAGCCGCCCATTAGCCTGCCTCATCGAGTATATAACCAGAAATAGAGACGAAATAAGGACCGTTCATCCCTGGCAAATAGACTTTATATCCCTTTTAAATTATCGACTCTTAACCTTTGCGCTGAAATCACCAGTTAGAAAGCTGAAATAGTACAGCGCCAACAACTGACCAGTGTGTACGTCTCCGTATATTCCAAACAAAATATTCTGTATTTATTGTAATAAAGATAACATCTTTAACAATGAGAGCTGTTCCATTCGGTGGTGTGGGAAAAACAGCAAAACATCTCATTTCAAAACTAACAGAATCACATTTCATCGGTAATTAAATATCAAATATGTAATTTTGCAATTTTCGTCCATTATAGCAAAGCTGAAGTTAAACTGGACCACGTCCACCACGACTCCCGTTAATTGTTTCGAATTCGAATTGGGCTGGCCAATCGGAGCGCAGTTCTCATCGTAATGATTATAGCAGAATAGTTTTCAAACAAATTAAATGACATTTCGCCTTTATTTCTGGTTATATACTCGATGGCCTACCTACAGCATAGTATAGTAAGACTAGTTGTACAGCGCCGGAGTTAGGCCCAGGTGCAGTCAAATACCCTGGCACTTTCTAGTAGGCATGCGAATGGAACTCTTAGCGCGTTTGCACTTTCGAATCCGAAACTATACAAATCCAGAAAACACGGATCCACTTCGGATATCGCTTGTGCACTAAGTCCAATTCGGATACAAGAAACTACGAATATCGCTCGTACACCTAGAGGATATAATCTCAGTACAGAGTACTAAAAGAAACGACCTCAAAAGTTCGTGGAAGTACATCTATTTGCCAAGTTTTATTGAATTCGGTTACCGGGACCGGGAAGTGCGTGAAACTGGATTCCTCCCCTAGTTTGCTACCCTTGAATGTGGAATATTTTCTTCAAATCTAAATGGGAATAGTACTGAGGTGAGCCAGTGCCTTCTTTACCTATTGTGCAGAATGTTCGGCGCACATGGGCGCTGGTCTAGAGAGCGCCCCTCGCGACGCTTCCAAAGGGCCTGTCAAGTAAACGGGCTATTCTGCCCTTCTTGTCTTGACTAACACATTTACAATTCGGTAGTTTTCGAGATATTGGCACCTCACAGTACAAAGAGGCTCTATTAGAAGCCAGAATTCGAAAACGGAGGTCTTTCGGAGTCGAAGTTCGTAATTCCCGCCGCTCAGAGACGACGGCTTAGCGGTGGCAACCGCTAGTTATGCAATGTGCAACGGGAAATGAGCGTGCCTACAGCTCCGATACCTATCTGGAAAATAGTGAGGGCACTGAAGGCACTAGCCTCTCGAAGAACCGGATGAAGTCAAGTGACAGAGGCCTGTGAGAACCATGTGCACTGGCTGATCAGGGGTCAGAACCTGAACTTATAAGGTACCTTTCCATTCCACAGGTTATACTGCCCTTCTCGTATATCCTCAGGGTCGGTAGGAAGGGTCACTATAATCAATACTAATGTAGAAAGATATGAGGCTGTACCGCCCGTGAAACATAAAATGTTATTCATCACTTTGCGAGTAAATACCATGATTGCATGCAGGATAACTTGACTAAAATGCCCAAAATAAAACCCTAGGACCCTTTTTCTTCTCATTACAGCCATGGTACCCAGATTAACTCACCTAGATTAACTTGCACTGCTAACCTTTAAAATTATGTAAACACACAATAATTTGACTGTTTGCGATAGTCTGGCGGATATGTGCAAATAAAAGGTTATTTAATAAGATTCATGTCATCATCATTGTCATCATATCAGCTGGAAGACGTCCACTACTGAACATAGCCCAGATTGCCAGACTAGCCGATCGGACGCGATGTACATTCATCGGTTACCAGGTCATACGTCCATCCATTAGGGGGCCGTCGCACTGAGCGCCTTCCGACACGTGATCTCCGTTCGAGAACTTTACTACCCCAAAGATTGTCGGTGACTTTCGTTCTTCTACGGATCTCTTAATTTCTGGTTCGAACACGTAGACAAATGCCGAGCAGTGCTCGCTCCATATCTCCTTGAGTGACTTTTTGCTTCTTAGGCCCATAGTTAGTGACCACGCGTCAGAGCCGTTAGTCATCGCTGGCAACACGCACTGCTCGAAGACTTTTGTCTTAAGGACTGCGGTATTGCGAACGAGAAGACGCTTCCCGAAAGCTGCCCAACCGAGACCTCTTCCTCGAAGTTGGCTCTGCCTGATTGGAAGGTTTGTCCGAATCCGAAGATTCATAATAGGTTAAATTTTTATACAGAATAAATTTATTTTTATATTTATGGTCGTGTAGTGAGAAGAAAAAATGCCCGAGAGTTTTATTTTTGGCATTATAGTCAAGGTAGCTTGCATGCAATCATACTAGTTACGTATTTATTTTTTTTTTTTTTTATGTTAATTAGTAGGCAAACGAGCAGACAAGCCACTTGATGGGAGGTGGTCATTGTCGCCCATGGACACGAGCAATACCAGAGGCATCACCCATGCGTTGCCGACTCCGGAGAACCTTGTTTACACGTCTTTTGAAGAACTCCATGTTATAGCGCAAGGGGAACACTTCAGGAGGAAGGCCATTCCACATCTTACTGGTTCGGGGAAGGAACGAACGAGATGCTCGAGTGGTCGTGACGTGCCAAGTATCGAGGAAGTGGGGATGGAGTCTTCTCCTTCGGCGGGTCGTGCAGTGGTAAAAGAGTGACGGAGGCACCAACTCAAAGAGTTCGTCTGAGCACTCCCCGTTATACAGACGGTAGAACACACATAGAGAGCCAACATCTCTCCGCAAACTAAGGGGCTCTAAACCGTCTGTAAGCATAGGGTCGTCGACAATTCGAACAGCCCGACGTTGGATGGAGTCAAGTGGATCAAGCTGATACTTAGGTGCTCCAGCCCAGAGGTGCGAGCAGTATTCCATATGGGGCCGAACCTGAGCTTTGTATAGCAAAAGCCGGTGCCCCGATGTGAAACACCGCTTCGCTCTGTTGAGCACACCAATCTTTTTAGAAGCCATTTTGGCTTTATTCTCCAAATGACCCCGAAACTGGACTTCGTTCGAGATGTCGACGCCAAGGATGCCTATACTATTAGAGGTGACGAGGGGAGTGCCTTGGAACTTAGGCGCTATAACAAATGGAGTTTTCTTAGCGGAGAACGCGCAAACTTGTGTCTTTGTGGGGTTAAAGCGGACAAGATTTTGTCGGCCCCATACGGAGACTTGCTCCAGTGAGGTCTCGATTTCAGACACAAGTTGTGCTCTTCCTTCTACCACTTCCTGTTGGGTCATATTTGCACGGCCAGTATAAAAGGTATCACCAGTACTGTCATCCGCATAGCAATGAATGTTACTTGTCAGTAACATATCATTGATATGCAGGATAAACAGGGTTGGTGATAGCACTGACCCCTAGGGAACGCCAGCGTTGATGAGCATGGAGTCCGAGCAGAAACCGTCTAACGCAACTTTAATGCTCCGCTCGTTCAAAAAACTGGCGATCCAGGTGCAAAGACCATCTGGGAGCCCGTAGGATGGTAACTTCGATAGAAGAGCCCTGTGCCAGACCCGATCGAAAGCCTTAGCTATATCCAAACTCACGGCCAATACTTCCCCCCTGCTCTCAATGGCAGCTGCCCATTGGTGAGTGAGATACACAAGAAGATCACCAGCACCGCGACCACGACGAAAGCCGTACTGGCGGTCATTAATCAGCTGGCGATCCTCAAGGTAATCTAGGAGATGGTTGTTCACCACGCGCTCCATCACCTTAGAGAGCAAGGAGGTTATCGCAATTGGTCGGTAGTTGGACGGGTCCGAGCGATCACCCTTTTTTGGGATAGGGTGAACACAGGCAGTCTTCCACGAAGCCGGGACTACACCTAAGCGGTATGAGAGTTGGAAGAGGCGCGTTAAGACCGGAGCCAATTCAGGAGCGCACGTTTTGAGCACAACTGCAGGAATACCATCAGGCCCACTGGACTTCCTGACGTCGAGGGCGAAGAGAGCACGCCGTACCGCGCATTGCGTAAAGCGGATTTCTGGCATAGAGTGCCCACACCACGGGATAGTAGGTGGTGTATTACCCCCGTCGTCAAGATTTGAATTCGACGCAAAGAGAGAGCAAAGAAGGTCGGCTTTCTCTTTTGCGGAATGTGCCAGTGAGTCGTCAGGCTTGCGCAACGGCGGAAGAGACATCCGACAGAAGTTTCCCTGGACTGCCTTGGCGAGAGACCAGAAGGCACGGCTCCCAGAGGGATAGCCCACTAGTTTCTCGCCAATTTTGCGAACGTGCACGAACTTTGCAGCGGCTATTACCTTCTTGCAGGACCTGGAGGCGGCGTTAAATTTCCGCTTCAAATTGGGGGTATCGGGATCATTGACAACTGACGCAGCGGACCAGGCCCGGTAGGCCTCACGTTTTGCTTTGCAAGCATCAGCGCAAGACCCACCGAACCAGGGCCTAGAACGGCCCCCGACGCGCACTGTCGAACTTGGAATGAAACATTCCATGCCCGACAGTATCGCCTCGGCAACCGATAATGCGCAGTCATCAAGATCCGCCAAAGAGAAGCAGAGTCGCCCCCAGGGGAAGGAAGCAAAGAACTCACGCAATCCATCCCAATCGGCTGACCCATAATGCCAAACACGGCGCGTCCCAGGTGGTCGGGGACGTCCGGTCTGAGTGACGCATACCTCAGAACGGATCAGGAGATGGTCGGATGATCCCAAGCAAACATGGCGGGATACCCGAGTGCCGTCTGGGTGAGTCGTCAGCATTAAGTCGAGCAGGCTAGGGGTATGGCCCTCAATATCGGGAATTCTGGTGTGGCCATCCACTAATTGCGTGAGGTCATTGGTCACGGCAAAGTCGCGAACAGCTCTCCCAGCATAATCGGTACGTGGTGATCCTAGCCACTCAACATGGTGAGCGTTAAAGTCGCCGAGGATCACCACCTCCGCTGAGGGGAGCTGTTGCAGGACTTCGTCGAGTGCCCGCTGAACGCGGCCCAAGAGTCGGTCGGTCTCCGAGTCTCCGCTGTGGGACCTGTAAAGGCACGCGTAGATATAGGTGTGGCTCCCATAATCGACGCGCGCCCACAATAAGGACAGGTCCCTGTCTTCAAGACGATGAAGACGGCGACAGCAGATATCATCCCGGACGAACATGCACACCCCAGCCCGAGACAAGAATTTGTGTTCCAGGCTGTAACCGGGGTACATGAGGTACGAAACATCGGCCGGGGTAGATATCTGCGTCTCCGTCAAGAAAAACAAGGCCGGCTTGGACGCTTCAAGGTGGTGGTGTACTTCATTCAGATTCGAATGAAGTCCCCAGATATTGCAAAAGTCCACATTGAGTGTGGAACAGGGTGCCGCTGAGTACACGTTTTTCTTATTACGACTCGTCATATAAAAAAGGGCGAAACAAGGGAGAAAGGAGGATTGCTGCAGCCTCGACACTTCCACAGGCAAAGAATAGACCAGACCCCACCCTGAAGCACCAAGCGGTGCGCTCCTTGGAATGGGGGACAGAAGGGCCCCCGGTCCGACCTGTGGTTGGCCGACGGGTTCCACTCCGGGATCCCAGTCCGGCACGCCGACCAACGCACAGGCTTTTGACACTGGCAGCAGGACAGCCTCCCAGGCTGGGCAAGGCAAGGGTTCGGGTCCTCTACGAACCAGCGGGCGGTCAGCGGGCAACCGTTTCACCGGGTCTCCCTGGCCCCCACGCCAAGGCGGCACGCCCAGCGCAGCAGGGTAGGGGGAATCGGTCTACACGGACCGAGGAATTGGCGAGGCTGCAACAATCGGGAAGAGGGGACTGGTACTCGCGTGCGCCGTCGGAACACACCCAAAGGTATTTGGCGACGGATTTCGACACGAGGGTGGTCGCCAACCAGGCGAGTAAGCACTCTACCACACAGCTAAACGGTGTTTGGAAATTACGCAAGGCCACCGTAAAAACCTCACAACCCAGGATTAGGGAATCTGTTGTTCATTTCGCACTACCCAGGAGACACGTGTGGGGTATCGAGAGTTAAAGCCCACGGACGCGAACAACACTGCCACCCAAAAGTGTGATGAATAATAATATTGTAACAACCCTATGCTCCAAGCGAAGTGTGGACATATCTTATTATACTATGCCTAGAGATGGGCAGGGGGTTAAAATCCAATCAACCCGCCCGGGTTTTAACCCAAAGCGGCGGGTTTTTAGTCAATTTCTGCCCAAAATCGTGAGCAGAAACATATTACAAATTTCGATGTAAATAATCTTTTTTAGACGAAAAAGAGGCAACTCCACAAAATACTTCCTTCCAATTATGTGGATTCTCGCTACTAACGATGCACATTACGTATCGACTTTTAAGAAAATCGATTGAAGTGCATCGATCGAATTATTTCTATATGTTTTTCAAAAAAAGACAAATCGAATCGTCTAGATCAAATAGCAATAAATACATATTTTGTAATAATATGAATAAAATTCGATTTACAACAAATATGTAGCTTATAATAGTTTTTGCCTCTGATTTTGGACACTTATGGGTTTTAACCCGATTAACAAAGTGCCGGGTTAAGCCCCGGGCAATAGAAAGGCTAATCGAATCATCTAGATCAAAAAGCTATAAATATTTTGTAAGGTTTGTGAGGCGTAAAATTGTCGTTAGTAAAGCGGGCGTAAAACAAAAGACACTTTTCAAAAACAGTGGCGTCTTGGCGACACTTAAACATAATTTATAAGCACACAAGGTACTAGTACACTTCATTTCACTGGTTAACTTATTCTACACACAAAATTTTGCCCACAATGTAGTATTTTGTAATATATGGAAAATTTTAGGCAAGCCGGTGAAAATCGAGTTACATGGACGCCTCGCCACGGTAGCTTAAATAGTTTTTGCCCTTGATTCAGGGCATCTATAGGTTTTAACCCGATTTTAAGCCGGCATTAACAGAGTTAAAACCCGGGCACTAGCCCATCTCTGACTATGCCTATCCAAAAGTTTACTTACATGAGGCTCGTCAATGGAATTCCCACCACTGTTTATGACGCACTTTCTGATTCCCTCAGGATTTTCAAACACCAACACATGCTCGTTAGCCTTGGGACAGTCCTGCACCGGAACGAACTTTATACACGTCTTGAAAGAGATGTACGCGATGGCATTCATTATTGCTAACGACTGGGTGTGATCTGTGAAAGTAAGTAAAAATAATGGACGAGACCAATAACCAGAAGTAGTAAGATTAGTGGAGTACGTAATTAAATTCATTTATTTGTGATAACACAGGTTGTATAGAAGATGTACCAAATATTATGATAGTTTCACTGTGTCCACAGATCTGCAGCACACGCATCGGACGGATCACATTATAAGGATTTTAGTATTCTTGGTATGGAAGTTCATACAACTGCGTCCACTGACCGCACACACCGGCCTGTCGGTAATGCCGACGCAGTTGCTCAGAGGGGCAACTTGTCCGATGCGTGCCGACAAAGTCATACGGATTGCCTATCAATGGACGCGTTGGTGCTGATCACGGACGAAAAGTGGCGTCGGCAATCCGATTGCTGCGGATACAGTGAACGCACTACCACAAACCGAGCCGTTGAATGCGATCCGTCCGATACGTGCGCTGCGGATCTGTAGACGCCTACCTTAAGCCACGGAACAAATTAGCGGATTTTACGAATTTTTCTATGTGCTTGTAGCGTCATCTATGAGAAATCTATTTCTTCACTCAGCCAGGTACCTTTACAGCTACCAGCAGCTGACTAGAGTATCGTTTTAACATTTGTAATTTTGTCGCTTTATTGATTATATAGTTGCATTTTTAAGACAATAACGATTGCTAATAATGTGACTATTTTTCATCGGCGCATGAGTATGCAATGTAAATCCTTTCTTGAAATTGAACGATTGTGTAAACACCGACATGGAGAACTTTCGGAGAGGTAAATATAGTATAGGGCTTCAATATCAAAATTTAGCAGGTTCACTGTAGTAATTAAAAGAGAAATATCGTCCGTACAAAAGTTATTTTTATTCATAAATAATTCGTCTTAGATTTTGTAATGGGTACACGAGGCGACGAAGGGTGAAGAAAGAAGCTTGACTCTCCTAATGCCCAACGGCTTCTAATGACGTAATCGCGTTCATCCTCGATGTTAGCTCACTGTCCCACCCGGTGGAAGCGGCAGCCGACGATGCTATGAGCTTTCATCCAAGTATCCCACCCGGTGGAAGTACTGGAATGCCTCATAGAGTCTACGATTCAATACAAAGCCTTTTTTCTGAGGGGTATTTTGCAGTTGGCTGCTGATGGCCTTGACCGGAAGAAAAGGGCGAGCTGAAGGCTCATAATCCGTGAAATAAACTACAAAATGAGGGGCTATACGACCTCGCCGGCGAAGACGGTTGGTGCGTGAGGAGATGAACGATTCGCGATCTGGTTGTCCTCCAAAGTGGCGAGAGTGATAGGGTCGTCAGAGTCGTTGAGAAAAAAAAACGATACAACGCGTTTATCTGTTGCAACTTAAATGGTAATTTAGTTAATACTTCGATAGCGCGTTCTATTTTGGTCCCAACGCCATCTAGCGGCAAGGCGAGGTTACTAATATTTTTTGTAAGTTGTGTTACAACTTTTTTTTTTATATATGATCGGGTAAAGTACATAATATCATGTAATGTATTAATTAGCATTCCTTAGACAATATCCTTAGATATATCGTATGCTTTTTGTAAGACCGTTTTTGATAGGAAATACGTAGACCATTTAGCAAAACAGTTTTTCCCGCTTCTTCTACGGGTACACCCTTTAATTGATTTTGTAGGGAATAGAAATAAATTGTTAAGCGAAATATAAATGTAAAGAAATCTATAACAGAGTACAATGTTTTATCTCTCAAGCATGACAACAACTCGTGTTTAATTACAAGATTACTATTTATCACTTTTATATCAGAGCGTAAAGCACCATGTATTTACAAACTAAAGATATAGTCGCATTGTTTCTTGTAATAACTCAATTTGGTACTTATTAAGTAAACAGTCTGGACTCCTTACAATCAAATTCCATCGAGTATATAACTAGAAATAGAGACGAAATAAGGTCCATCCATCCCTGGCAACTCATCAGGCAAACGGGCCTTATATCACTTTTAAATATTGACTCTCGTTTGCGCTGAAATCACAAATTAGAAAACTGAAATAGTACAGCGCCAACAACTGACCTGTGTGTACGTCTCCGTATATTCAAAAAATATTCCGTATTTATTGTAATAAAGATAATATCTCTAACTATGGGTGGCTGTTCCATTCAGTGGTGTGGGGAAAAACAGCAAAACATCTAATTACAAAACAAACGGAATCAAATTTCATCGGTAATTAAATATTAAATTAACTGGATTTAACAATTGACGACACCCGTTAATTGTTTCGAATTATATAATGTAGTATAGTAATGCTATGGCAGAATAGTTTTCAGACTAATTAAATTAAATTTAGTCTCTACTTCTGGTTATGTACTCGATGTAAATTCATATTTATTACATAGGTAAGGAAATTACACTTGAAATCATCATATTAATTAAACTATACTGCTCATAGGTAAAGCAGAGTACTGCTCTTTTAAATATACAATTAAATGATAACTTATCACAAACTCGAATTTTTTTCCCGAAATAACGTTTGGTCGAATTTTCATTACACCGAAAAGCGAATTATAATGAAACCGTTGTTCTTTCAGGATATGTTGGATGTTTATCGCAAAGACACGATTAGGTTCGGTTAGGTTAGATTAAGATAAGTATAAAAGAAAAAACATTTGCCTCTCAAAACTACTTTCGAGATTATGAAACTTGATCAAACGTTATTTCTGGAAAATGTCATTTCGGACTAGTGATAGGAAACCCATTTGAATACATTTAACATTTACAATATTTATTTCAAAGATGTTTGAAATAATATTATTTATCAGTAGTAAACATTGACTTACAATTATATGGACGTCGGGTCCGCGCTAAAAAGTGTCCGAACTTGAAAGGCGTTAAAATCGTATACAGAGCGTCAAACTCCGCTTTAGTCTTCAATTGTTCGACTGACAGCGCGATACTGCGATGACATTACAATTTAAATTCAACGTTTTAGCTTTTTCATATTCCTTTACATGTCACTACGTTTAAATAGGTTGACTTGGGACATTTTTTTCGTGGTTTTTGTATTAGACCCGTCGTCCATTTATTTGTAAGTCAATGGTAGTAAATGATAAATGTATTCAATTGTACATTTACAAAGAGCAACCCCTAGAGTTTCTTGCTCATTCTTCTCAAGGGAATCTGCCTTACGAATGAGGTGTAGTTTAATCAATATAACGATTATAAGTGTAATTTGCTTACCTATGATGTAATAAAGATGATTTGAAATTGATATAACATAATTGAATATAAATTCAATAAAAATTTAAATATAATGAATAGCGACATCTCTAGCCAGGGGCTGTTACGTGTAAAGGTATATATGACTGGGTGACGAAATATCATAGATTTCTCATAGATGGTGCTACGGCTAAAAAGCCAAATACGTTGAAAAGCCAAATACAAAGTTACGACACAAGCACATAGAAAAATTCGTGAGGTACACTGGTTCGTTCCATGGCTTACGTTGATATAGCGTCTGGCACGGTATGCTAGAAGACGTCGGTTCGAATCCGGCAGGATCGAAGGAATTTTTCCGAGTGTTCAATCTTTATATTAATAATTATAACAAATAGATGTAAATTTGCAATATGTAATTTCATTACAACAAGAATCGATCGGCTGTTATCAAGGGGAAAAAGGGCGTTTTGCTATAGAAATAACTTATCATCGTCAACCCATTTCTACGTTCCAATGCTGGGCACGGGTCTCCCCTCAGGGTCTACTCCCGTTTCATCACGATGATATACCTAATGGATGGATAAATGGTTTAATACAAAGATACATAAATAAAAATTCGTGAGGTCGGCTGGTTCATACCGTGGCTTAGTTGATATATATATCCGAGTGTTTTTAATAATGTAGATACATGACGTGTTAGCCTAATGGTTTGGCCAGTCGCCTCTAAAGCAGAGGCCATGTGTTCGAATCCAGTCTCGCGCCTCTGAGTTTCTCGGAATTCACGTGCAAAATTTAAATTTGTAATCATTGCAATCACTTACAAATAAATGGACGACGGGTCTAATACAAAAACCACGAAAAAAATGTCCCAAGTCAACCTATTCGAAATTTAAATTGTAATGTCATCGCAGTATCGCGCTGTCAGTAGAACAAATGAAGACTAAAGCGGAGTTTGGCGCTCTGTATACGATTTTAGCGCCTTACAAGTGCGGACACTCTTTAGCGCGGACCCGACGTCCATATAATTGTAAGTCAATGTTTGTAATACACGAAGCGAGGAACGTAGGTCCCAATGCTGGGCACGGGTCTCCTCTCAGGGGAGGGGGGGTCTACCACCCAAATAAGTAATACTCGACAATGAAGCTTCATATTATTTAACACGTTAGCCTAATGCGGGTTGGGGAATTCAACCGCTTTCCGAGGGTTGTTAGCCCTCTTGGACGCGCCTGTTTCATCACGATGGTATAATGGATAAATGAATGGTAATGCGCGATGAAGGTCAAATGTGCACTTGTACGTTTTATTAAAAAAAAATACGACGTTTTATTTTTACTAAAAACTCGTGGCATTTGAAAAAAATGACGGGTTTTTGAAGTTACGAGTACAGTTTTTACGAAGACTATTTTTATTAAGTGTATTACGAAGAAAAAACGAAGAAGAAAATAGTGATGAAGAAAATTAGAACTATATTCCGTAATTCAAAATCAAACTAAATTAGAATAGAATAGACATTTATTGCAACGCCATAACACATAGATACAAAAAAAAAAACAAATATTGATACACAAACACAGACAAACAAAAGAAAATAAAAAGAATTAATAAACGAAAAAAGAATACAATAAAAACACAACACAAAATAATACAAATCTGAGAAAGAGCAAAAAACAAAATATAACGACTACAAATTTTGTACTGTCATTTGTGCGTACGCAAGAGGACTTCATTTAGCTTATGCCACAGCCATAAGACTGTGGCGGCGGTTTTCAATGAACCCTGAGCCGAGATGAGTGACAGACGTGTATGTCGTGAAATAGAAGAACTTAAAATAAACTATTTAAATAAAAACTGCATATTGCAAATTTACATCTATTTGTTATAATTATTAATACAAAATTCCTTCGATCCTGCCGGATTCGAACCGACGTCTTCTAGCTTACCGTGTCAGACGCTATACCAACTAAGCCAAGGAACGAACCAGCGGACCTCACGAATTTTTCTATGTGCTTGCCTCGTGTCTTTGTATTTGGTTTTTCAACGACTTTTAGCCGTAGCCTACTTTACATCTATTTGCCAAGTTTTATTGAAACCGGTTACCGGATTCATCATCAATCTGCCACCCTTAGAGGTGGAATGTTTTCTTCAAATTTAAATGGGATCACCTCTGAGGTCCACTCTTTCCAACAAAAAGAGAAACATCAAAATCGGTTCACCAATGCGTAACATACATATAAAAAAACTTCTTTTTAAAAAAAGCGGTTAAAAACAGTCTGCTTGTAGTTTCAGTATTTTAGTTTGACGCGATAGTATAGTACTTAGGTACTTACCAAAATGCTGAGGTGTTATGTAAAAAGGTACTGTGGCTTCAGGCCAAAACATATACGTTTTGATGGAGACGGCTGCGGAAGAAAAAATATATTTTACTTCTCATTTAAAACAGAACAAAGCTCTCGGAGATACATTTTGGAAAGCGGTGACGGTCGGCTTTTAGGTAGACATATCGATCAGATTAGGCGCAAATCCCGTTTGTCTGATGTACCATGTCCAAGTATGATGAGACTAATACCGGAGCTCAGTCACCGGACGGCGTGGATGCGGAGATTGTGAATGGGGGTGGAGGAGAGGATGAGACTGTGAGCGAAGGGCGTGTGGTAGACGCTCGGTTGGACGATTCTGGCTCTTCGTACTCCTCTCTACCCTCGACACCGGAGCCACCGGAGACTGATTAAGCCAGTGTTAAGACACGGTATAGATTATTAGCTTAAGATTAGTTTACGTTCACAACAGCATCGAAGCATCGTACCAACATCCATTAGTTTGTCTGTTAAAGGCTTGATTCATATCGCCGAGACGCGGCGACAAAGAAAAGCTGCTTTCAAAGAAATATCAACTTTTTTTAGCTAGTACACATGAAATTCAAAAGAATTTTGCTTCATTTTCATCATTTTCTACTACGCAGTACGCCTTTCAAAGAACCTTATTGTTGGGAAACTAAATTACACTGTATTGCCGGAGGCGGACAAGTGGGCGAAACCGGGCTGCGAGACTCCACACGATGTAGCGCGACGCTGCGCGGCTTTACTCTTTTGTTTTTGGGTGTTTGAAGAAATGTATACTTTACTTAATAAAGAATATGTTCTATAGTATATTGCATTTTACAAAGTGCGCCCGCAACTCTCTGCAGCCCGCCACCGCTTGATGCAACTTCATTTTCATCTGTTTGTTCTTTGTGTATGTGTCTCCGTAATATGAATCAAGCCTCGTTTGAGAGACTCATAGAGGCTATAGTGTTAAACTATTTAGATTACGTGTTAAAGCTTCAAGTACCTCTTCCTTCGTTGCTCTTATACCCAACCTGACCCATATACGTATTTAATTGTAATTTTATTTAATAAAAATCAAGTCATCAAGAATCCATTTCCGTTGAAACTCTTACGGAAGTTAGTTGTTACGTTGTTACCTACGTCTTTACATTTTGTGTACGTATACTGGCATAAACACAAAATGCTTAAATAAAGACGCGTAGAGGAAGTTCTTTTCTATTGCAATTTTACTTTTTATTGATATTTTGCATATTTATCAATCATATTACCCCTTGACAATGTAATAGGTAGATAAGTATGACATTGATATATGAAATAATTTAAAGTATTTAAGGATATCTACGTCCGTTGCATTAAAGTAATTTAAATACTTACCATTTTCATTAATCATATCATTAAATTCACAAAACACCGCATCATAAAAAATTGAAAAATTAAAAATAAAGTAGAAAAACTTTAAAAAATGCGCCATTATCGGCGACAAAGTATGGAATAGCTTTTTTTTATGGCTTTTGTTTACCATAAAAAATGATTTACAATTTTTATTATTGCAGAACGAATTAAAATTATTGGACTATATCAAAACATTTTTATTGTGGTTGCGTAAAATTTGGTTTTGGATTTAGGATTCCGCATTTTAACTTATTTATTTACACAAAATTGATGAACCGTCTGTGCTAACATTGAAGTAACAATAGTGTCAGTAAACTTATTGCGGTCATAAACTCAAAACCAAATCGTTTACATTTCATAGGCAAGCAAATTACACTTGAAGGCGTCATATTGATCAAACTATACAGCTCACTCGTGAGGCAGATTCCTCTGAGAAGAATCAGCTCGAAACTCTAGGGGTTGCTCTTAGTAAATATACATTTGAATACATTTATCATTTGCAAATATTTCAAACATCTTAGATCGAGAATACCTGCAAGAGCCAAACGGGACACTATCACGGATTTTTGTCATCCACATACGCAGAAGCTGCTTAATAACCTTTAGAATAAAGTTTTTGTTTCACTGTAGTTATTATATAAACCTTGTAGGTAAATGGCGAATTTTGAATATCACCCGAAACCTTATTACAGGAGCATATGTATACATCGCCCGCTAAATGAATTTGTGATTTTGTGAAGACGACAGTCAAGAATAGCCAGTTTATTTTTACTCCTCATATTAATGTTATGTCTGTCATTATTTTTCATAAAAAATACTATTCTTCTTAACATAAGTTACAATTTCATAAATGTACTGCGATGCTAGTTTAAAAATGTGTGTCTCAAAGCTGTCCGTCACGATGGCTGGACCGAACGAGATATACAAAAAAATATTAAAATTAAAAAATACAAACAAAACTGTACTCATTATTTACTACCTATTTTTAGCGATAACGTACGTTTTTGATGGTTCTAGCAGTATATAATTTACCTTTTTTTATATATTTTTTACTACCTAATTTGTACTTAAACATCTTATTTTCACTATTTTAGGAAGCTTCCAAAAAAAGTTATTTAAAAATATAATAAAACGCCTTTGCAAAAGTTATATACTAAAAAGACATTTTATCTTCTCAGTGTAATTGCTAATGCAACTTTGTCAGGCGCTTCGAATATGCCAAAAAAAAGAATGTCGACTTTTGGTAATTAAAATATCAAATATGTCACTAGTCAAAGTCTACTGCCTCCTGATTGATTAAAATATTAGCGGTACTTCTATTTTTTTCTACTAGACGTTTGAAAGTACTAGGTGTTTGAAATAAACATTGTAAAGAGTGATTTTCTTACTTATTCTTCACAAGGCTCTCTTGCCCTACGAATGAGCAGTAGAGTTTAATCAATGTGATCATTTCAAATGTAATTCGTTTGCCAATGAAATAAAGATGACTTGATTTTGAGTTTGACTGCAAGATATTGCGTACCTACGGAACTGTTGTCATAAATATGCACGTGGCAAAACCCGCATGCCGGAAATCGCTCAATCGAGACAGCATACGAAATAAATCTCATTTAAGAAAAAAACCAATGAGGCTTTTTATTAATACACGGTAACTCGCCTGAATACTGTATTTTTTAAACTATAATGCCTTCTTTTTCTTAGGGTTCCTCCCCTATAGTTCGTTAATTTTTAGAATTAGAAGAAACGTAAACAAAGAGGCAGTGATCATAAACCTTTATCTTTAGACAAGTTTACGGTAAAGGAAAACATATAAAGAAATACGTATTACTTTATTCTAAGGGAAGATACAAAAATGACCCTAAAACTGCAATAATTTAAGTCAGAATCACAAACACTATTGTCACCATGCAACACTGTTTTCGTTCCCGAGTCATCAACATCATTTTGTAATTGGTTCTAACCCAAAAAACGTGAAAAAACTTTATTTCCCTACAAAAATATTGCATTTGTGGTCAGGGCAACCAGCTTTTATTTAAAGACAAAAAGGAACGATGGCCTATATTTAAAAATCAATGATATATTTTGACCAAAATTTTTCAAATTCATTGAAAAAAAAACCTAGTAATGTGAAACTAAAAGATATAGTGGCACCTTCCTCAGTCGCACAGTTGAGAAATGGAACTCCCTTCCAGGGCACGTATTCCCTCGGACATATGATATGGGGTCCTTCAAACGAGGCGTGAAGAGGTATCTTGTAGGCATGCAGAGTGAAGGTGGCTAGGTGTGTAGATGTGTAGATTTACGAGATTATGTAAATACACAAAAGTAGTTCGCTGGTACAGCCACGATTCTATTGTGTTAGCCTGCCGTCGCCACCTTTGTGTTGTTCAGGATATCGTTTTCTCAATTCATTCTCTAATTTCAAGTAAAGCGCTGGCCCCACCGCGATCGAAGCTAGTAAGGCAGTGACTACGGTTGCGTGCAGAGGTGACGGGCGGCAGAAGGGCAATATATTTTTCACCTCACTAGCTCGGAAAGACTGTCTTTCTCATTAAAGGCTCGAAGGACTTGTATCCAAGCCAAAAAAATTCTCATTAGAAATCTGGGCGCAAAAGCGTTTTTTCCACGCTAGCGTGGAAAAGGTTTTTGAAATTCGAACTTGACAATGAACTGGTGGTTCACCTACCTTTTTCTTTCAATGAAAAAAAAAAGATAATGGCACGTTCAATTAAGCGATTTGTCGTAACATACATCACTTATTTATGAAACACAAATCCGTTGGTATATTTTATTCTTATTATTGTTGACATTGAATTGTGTTTATTAAATTATTTTAATTCGTCGAAGAACTAAAATAATTTCAATAATAACTTAATCACACAAAATAAAAGTACAAGCAAGAATAAAAATTGACGAGGTGTAAATTCAGAACGCATCCGAAGATACACTATTCATAAAATCACAGACTACATAAAATTAAAAAACTGATGTTACAGAGTTCAAATGTTTTTCTTTCATCTACCATTTCCCTCGCTATAATGACGTGAAAAGTTGTTTTGCGTCTCGTGTCTTAAACCTTCGCTACGCTCAGGAATCTATATTTCAATTTTAGCGTCCTTCGCTTGCTAGGTTTCAATATATGCACTCGCGGCAAACAAAAACTTTACAGCCTTGCATAACAAAGAACTATTACATAGCTAGCGGGATCGTTGAGTTAATTCAGGTAGCTTAGTGCCCGGTGTAAACCGAAGTATGAAAATATGGCCCAGCTACGTGAGCTAAGTTAGCTTAGCTTCGTTCGCGATGCGGCCTGCGCATAAAAAAATATTTTTTACTAGTCAGGGCTCGCCGTCGCCCCATTGCTGTGCCGCCCGGGGCCATGGCCCCCTCTGCACTCCCCACGTTACGACACTGTGTAAAAAACGATAACTCGATTTTCACCGATTTGTCTAAAATTTTCCACATAATTATCAAATAGTACATTTTGTGCTAACGAGTTTAAGGATCGTATTCTAGAACTCTACTCAATACTCAAGTCAGGACTTGAGTATTGCAGTGAGCACTGAGAATCATACTCAAGTCCTTGCCATTAGGGTCGTATTTCCAGTGCTTGAAATCATACTCAAGTCTGCTGAAATCCTAACTTGAGCATTGAGTAGAGTTCTAGAATACGACCCTATGTGTACTCTCGTTTCATTTAGAAAGTGTTGTAAAAGCTCAAAATTTTTCAATGGAACATAATAGTATGTCAAAATGCTTTTAATTTGCTTTGACGCACGTAAGTATTAACAGGCGCCGCTACACATTCAACTTCAACTCAACTTCTGTGGCTGTGTGGTTAAGCCTATTAATGTGCAATTAGTAATTATGAAAAGAAGCATCCACCTTGATAGCTAGATATAAAAAGAGAAACAAGTAAGCCTTTTTCGTAACTGGTTATGGAAAGAACAAATCTGCATCCGTTTCCGTAACTGGAGTTTTGAATATGGAGTAAATATTCCTTTTTAATAACTGGTTACGAAAGTCAAGGAAATCTTCTTTTGTTACTAGTTATGAAAAACAGTAACGTAGATGGGCCAAAGGAAACTTTTAGTGTAGAATAAGTTAACCAGTGAAATGAAGTGTATTTAAAGTTTCTGTGCTAATAAGTTGCGACACTTTTTCTTAAGGTAGGTATTTGTCAGCTTACTCTGGCTTTACGTGTAGCGCACTATAAGTTTCCGGAATTAATAAGAAAAAAATACTATAAATGGTCAGAAATTAATTTGATCGCGTTAATGCACTTTTTCATACGAATGAACCAATTTTGAAAACATTTATGCCACTCCTCCGTGACAATCTCTGAAACATATTTTTCATACGCTTCGACAGCCTCTTCAGGTGATGAAAATCGTTGACCGCGTAACTGGTTCTTAATTTTTGGAAATAAATAAGTCACAAGGTGCCAGGTCGGCACTGTACGCGGGATGGCTCATAAGGTCAGCGTTGTTCACCTTCAAAAATTATTTTGTCTATCTGGCCGTGTGAGAACTGGCATTATATTAGTGGTGCAAGATGATACGGCGTTTACGGTTATTTTTACGGAGTTTGTCAACAACTTTCGACAAACAAATGGTCGTGTACCAATCACTATTCATGGTACAACGATTCTCCAAAGCAACAGTAGCCACGTATCCAGTTTTATTAAAAAAAGAAGCAATCATCCGATTAGAGGCACTTTGCACGCGCGCCACTTTGGTTGGTTTCGGCTCATCTCGAAAGACTCATACGCTCAATTGCTGCTTTGTTTTGGGATTGTAACTATAAATCCATGTTTCGTCACTTGTTACTATGTCATACACCAAATTTGATGCCCCTGCGTTACATCGCGTCACCAACTGACGCGATCCGTTTTTTGAGCCTCAGTCAAATTGAGTGGGATCCACCGAGAGCACAGCTTTTTCACACCCAAATGTTTGTGTAGTATCGATTGGTGTGTCACATGCCTGTCTGTTTTGATCATACGGCGCAGAGCATCGATGTTTTTGTTGTTCACAGCAGTGGAGCCCGTCCACTGAACGACGATCCCATCACGAAATCCGTCACTGAGATTCACACGACCGCGTTTGAATTCTGCAAACCAGCTATAAATAGTCGTCTTGCAAGCGAAGCTCCGCTGAGCTGTTAAATTACACTTAAAGTCGAAGAAAATCTTATTACGAAAATTTTCACGAGTTAAATCCATGGTGATGTAGACAACCAATTTCTAAAATGAAGCTACAATGTAAAAACAAGTGACAATCAGATGAAACAAACTATTCTACAGCCAGAGTTCCATTTTCAAATGTTGTAATTACTTTTTAAATATTGTTTATGTAAGTGGCCAGTTCGCTCTTTGTACTTGCTAACAATTTTCACGCCCGCCACTGGTAGCTATGTAAACACCGCAAGCAAAGTTTCAGGGGTATAGCTACTCACTTCTACATACTTGCTGCTCAATTAACAGAAACCAATACTGTCAAACCAGAAGCATAACCTCTTTGAATGTTACCTAGTGGAATTGCAAAATCATACAAAAAAACTTAAGTTAGTAAATTATAATTTATTTTACAATGGATTTTTTCTATGTACGTTATACAATTAATAATAATCTTGGAAATGTGATATTTCCGTAGGGACATAAAATGATGTAGATTTTTATGTTGGTATATAGGTACTAATTTGTGTTTAAATTTTATAATATGGCTATTTCGATACCTCCAATGAACACTACGCCATCTTTATTTTTTAGTCATTTACCGTTATTTTTGTAAACAGCCATATTTGTTTACTAATATTATGCCTCCCAAATTTAGTGACGAAATATGGGCCATCCGTCTCTGGCAACTCATCAGGCAAATGGGCCTTAAATCACTTTTAAATGTCAACTATAGTATGCGCTGAAATCACAAATTAGAAAGCTGAAATAATACAGCGCCAACAACTGGCCTGTGTGTACGTCTCCGTATATTCCAAAAATATTCTGTATTTATTGTAATAAAGATAATTATCTCTAACTATGGGGGCTGTTCCATTCGGTGGTGTTAGAAAAACAGCAAAACATCTAATTACAAAACAAACGGAATCACATTTCATCGGTAGTTAAATATTAAATATGTAATTTTGCAATTTTCGTCCATTATAGCACTGGTCGATTTGAAGGTCAGTTTTTAAGCCGGCGCGGGCGCAAATTCCACGTTCACATGTTTAAGAGCACACGGCGTATTTTCTACGCGCCGACGCAGACGACGCGCGTTTGATGACAAAAATCCGTGCTAGTGACCCATGTAAATCTTTCAGGTATTGTCGATCAAGATGTTTAACTTAAATGTTGTAATGATAAATGTATTCAAATGTATATTTACAAAGAGCAACCGTTTCTTGCTCGTTCTTCTCTCAGGGAAATCTGACTTATGAATGGGCAGTAGAGTTTAATCAGTATGACGATTACAAGTGTAATTTGCTTACCAACGAAATTAAGATGATTTAGCTTTGACTTCACGAAAGCGCGTATATGCGCAGGCGCGCCGTAGCTGCGCGTATGTATCGCGCATAGTAATAGGAGATAGTTTAAATTTTAGATTTGTTTGTTAATTTGTTATTTTTTTAAATGAAGGAAGTACATGAAATTCTAAGCGTAAACTCCAGTGGATTATATAAGCTTCTTGCTTGCAACGCGATCTTTGAACGCATTTGAATCGATTTACACGCGCATTAGCCGCGATACAGACCAGCTTCCAATGCGCTTTTCGCGCGCGTCTGTATCGCCTTTGAATCGCGTTTACGCGCGTCATTTGCGCGTCGTCGTATAAAACACGCCGTGTGCATAGGTATTTCTGTTAAGAAAAATAAATAATTTTTGAACTGCCGTGTTAATAACAAATAAATAAAAGTTACTTTGAATCCAAAGTATTTTAAACTTCATTTATTCAGTTAGAAAAAGATATCAATTTAAATTTTGCAACTTGACTTGAATCTAAATATAGGAAATAAAACTATTTTTTATATTCGTTTTTTCAAACAAACCGACGTTTCGGGCCCTTTACAGGTCCCATGGTCACGGTTGACTGACAGTCAACCATTCAGTCAACAAATTAACTTTTCTCAAAAAGTGCCGCGACAATAACATAGTTCCAACATGCGTTAAAATAACTCCGCAGTCAACCGTGACCATAAGACCTGTAAAGGGCCCGAAACGTCGGTTTTTTTAAAAAAAACCAATATAAGCGATTTAAATCCGGAAAAATAGTATCTTTTTCTATGTGTAACAATCGCGAAAACCTAAGAACTCGATTTGAATCTAAATCATTTCATAATTTATGAAAAGGTACAAATATCGAAAAATGTTACGTAACAACTTTTTCTGCTGGCAACCCTAGCAAATTTCTAACAACTTTAGCATAATTTTTTACCACGGCTTCACTTTCTCCGTCATTAAAATAACTCGATACAGCATCTCTGTACGAATCCCCATTTGGAATTACAGATATATCAAAATTTCGGTATTCTTCATTTGATAATTTTCTCCGGTCATTTGTTAAAAGCAAATACCAATCGACTAAATTCCTTTTAGAAGCATTATTGTGCCAATCATAGTACTCCATATCTTCCTCAGTCTTTTCCTGTTCCCATTCTTCCACATTCCACGATTCATGATAGCAGGCAGTTAATAAATAATTTACATAATCCAAATTCTGTTTCCGAACCGGACAACGGTCAGCTGTGATCGTTACCAAGTCCGTAGTTTTGTCATAACGTTCACCGACCAACCGTATAAACTTATCACGAGCATGTTTATCCAGGTTTAAAGTTGACAATTTAAGTCTTAAAGTAACTATTCGAGCTAATGGGTTCCTTATAGATGGACTAGCGTGGCAGTAATCTGAAGTAATGATTTCCAACGGATAGTGCTTCTCTATGGCTTCTTCAGAATTTAACAGTTTAGGCCATTCAGTACAGAACTGTTTGATCGCTTCACATTGAGCTTTTATGGCTGGTGGCGTGAGATGCAGGAAGTTTGGTATTTTCATTAGTTCAGCGTTAGCTTTTTTGCCCGGTGGAGCTTGCTTATTTGGAACGTAGCCCTGGCGGAGTGGTAGAGGCACTGATGATGGGTGGAAGGTTTTGGGGCCAGGCCAAACATTGCTCCAGTTCTGAAAATGAAGAAGATATCTTTTGAAAAGGAAGCTGTTTACTCATGGCAGTGGGGTACAATAATCCAACCTTCATGAGATATAATAACCTACTAAATGACAAAAATGGTCAGATTTTGAAGAAGTGGCTTATACATTACAAATATGAATCATTTCTACATAAGTGTGCATGCTCCATCGTCAACTTCATCGTGTCTTTCCATCAGGTGAGATGGAAGTTAAAAAATAAATGCGCATTTGTATTTATTTTTTAATCAAAAAAACAAATTTGTGTCGCGACCTTTATCGTTGAATAACCAGTGTCCAGCCTCAAGGAAGCCAACGTCCAGCCTCCATGGATGACTAGACTGACAGCTTACAAAGACAGGCTAGACTGACAGGAATTCAAAATTAGACAGACTTTCTTTTGGACAAAAGACGATGACCGACCTTCCTTTCTTTGACAAAGGACGATGAGGGCAGTCCAGACTAAACCTCCAAAGCAAGCAGACGACTTCTCCTGACTGAATTGTGCAGACAGACCATACAATTGGAATAGAGTAAGTATATTTACTTAAACTACAACATGTGAACGTCTACTTCCGTCTGAAATCCCAGAATGATTAAAAATAAAAGATGGAAATATGTAAAATATTTTATTTACAATTACAAAACTTTTATTCTAAATAAACTACCATAGTAAAGTAATTACTAGTTATCAATAATTAGTACAAAATACTACACAACCGTTTCAGTATTTTGGCGGGAGTTTTTTTGATACCAATAGACAGGATCATCGTACATGTAACCAGAAATAGAGACAAAATAAGGGCCATCCATCCCTGGCAACTCATCAGGCAAATGGGCCTTATATCACTTTTAAATGTCAACTCTCTTTTACACTGAAATCACAAATTGGAAAGCTGAAATAGTACAGCGCCAACAACTGACCTAAAATATTCTGTATTCATTGTAATAAAGATAATATCTCGTAACTGTGGGGTTCCATTTGGTCGTGTGTCGGAATCACATTTTGTTGGAGTTGGAAGACACACTTCATTTAATAGAATGTGATCGGTATGCGGGCTGTCGGGCCCAATATCAATTAAAAGACATTGGTCAGGTAGGAGAGCTAAATTTAATGCTGAGCAACCCGTTGACGAATAATGCTGAATCTTCATACTCCTATCTGAGATCTTGCTTTCTGAAGGTAAGCAATACCTCTGATGGGAGTAGTGACATATAAAGTGGGATAATTATTTATGTGTATACACACACATTATGAGGCCGACATAAACGCCCAAACATTTCAGGCCTCTTAAAAATAGATTAAAAAAAAAAATAAAACAAACAATATAAATTTCAACACTGTATGATGTAGACATACCAGTGCTAACTACTCGTCTATAATCAAATAAATAAATAATTTATTAGTCAAACAAAATCAAACTTTATACCAAATTTTCTAATGCAATAACATAAACATTTGGTTTATTTTTTAACATAACATTTGGTTTATTTGTTAACTTCACTTCTTAACATAAATATTTAAAGTTAGTAAAGGTAAAAAATCTAGTAAGATAGATATATTATTTTGTGATCATTTTTTGACATTCATGTTATATTTGTTGATTGGTACCCTATCTAATACTGTTATTTTTTTTTAATTAAGAGGAATATTGTTTAAGGGCGAGCTTGATTTGTGTTTTTGTGCTCTCCTGTAAAATTTTGTCTAAAGCAGACTAGGTTTTTGTTATGGGGCAGTCGAATTTTTGGTCACATTATTATATTTATAATTTGTGTACCTGATCTGTAGACATTCTATCCGCTCTGTCAGGCTGTATATCAGCTCTTTTGCTAACTTTTCGTTGTTGCCTCTCCCGTTTCTTCAAAATATCCAATACTCTAAATTCTTCCTCGTCGTCATCCTTTTTCAACGTCGTGTCTATTTTTGTAGAACTCCATCGCCATATTTTAACATTAGTCGCTGTAATAAGGCTCCCGGGCCTGTAATGCTTGATTAAAGCACTCATTTCTAGTATTTTTAAGTGATTAATATAAAGAATATTTAGTGCGCCATTTCTAGGTTATGAAATGCGCTTTTATTTATTGATAGTAGAGAAGAACAAGAATGTAACTTAATTGACATTCCTAACGCCCCGGAACACATTGGTTAGAATCTTTATAACATTTAACGGTAGTTTGGGTAGTGTATACTACAGATATTTTGTAAGCGCACGTACACTGTGTCATAAAAACGCGATGTCAAAAGGATGGACTTGGTAATCGAACATACTTCAGTGTTTTGTGGTGGAGAAAAGAAAAAATGGCGGGATAAATATACCTAGTAGTTACAGTTTTTACACAAGTGAAATTTTTAGTTTACGTAATAGTACGTTTTGAATTTCTTAACTATTTGTTACCTGTTTAAGCTGATGACTCTTTATAAAACATTATCTACAGACAATGCTCAATGAATAAATATAATAAAAAACCTGTTTTTGTATTTATACTTAGGATCGTAGGGAGTTCTAGGGTCGTATTCTAGAACTCTACTCAATGCTCAAGTCAGGATTTGAGTATGGTTTAAAGCACTCAAAATCATACTAAAGTCCCTGCCGTTAGGGTCGTATTTCCAGTGCTTGTGTTTCCAGTGCAATCCTAACTTGAGCATTGAGTAGAGTTCTAGAATACGACCCTTTTAGAGCTTAATAATTGTTATTTTTAAAGTAGATGGCTTTTTAGCCGATGCTCAATGAATAATACCTGTGCTGTGAATGGCTGTGAATAAATACACATTTTAAACACAATAAAGGTTTTTTTTTTGGTCAATACTCAATAAATAAATAAAAATCAGTATTTATTAAATGTAAAATAACATTGTTCAAAAGCAGTATTATGATTTTGCGACACTAAATAAATGTATTCCAATGATTGATCAACGTTCATCGCATTTAAACTTCATTGAAATACATTTCGAAAATCAAACCTGAATATTAGCATGCTAATGGTTTTTGGACGTACCGAGTCCTTGCGAACTACCCGTCAGTAGAGTGTTAACTTGTTATAAACCGAATAATTTAAGGAGTATATTAAATTAGAATAAGTCAGCACCATTGGTGTGTTAGAAATTCGTTGGACAGAAAGAGACAAAACCAGTTAGCATTGAACATATTAGGGATATCTGAAATTTTCTGATTATTGTATCCATAGAGAAACATATAAAATGGTTCTATCGCTCCTTTAGCTGATTATTTGTGCGTGCGAGTTTTTTCGCGATTCTTTCATTGTTTCTCGTCAATGTAGAAGTACTATAATGGCAGAAAACAGTAAAAGGAAACCTCGAAAGTCTAAATTAGTGCTCCGAGAGTGTGATTTCGATGACGACAGGAAAGATGAAACGAAGGTATTTTTTGTTTTATACGACCACCATTTTGAAAAGTTCCGACTACCCATTTTATCTAATAATCAGAAAATATAGGTAACTTCGTGAAATAAGTATTTTATTTAAATTAAAAAATAGTAGAAAGTGGCATGAATTTGATATTTTCTTTCTATTTTTATAAATATCTTAGGCAAAGGACTGCAAAAAGTGAGGGTAACCTATAGAATGAAATTATTTTAGTGGGTAGAACAATAAATTCGATATTATACATGTTATGCCTAAATAAATACGTAACGTGGCTTTTCGATGTTAATCTGTCGTATATTTAATATCATATTTAGATTTTAAAATTATTTAAAGCTTTAACTCCAAAAACAAAAGGAATTTTTAAATATAATTATCAATGCACACATGTCCTAAACTTTGAGTCAAAACAAACATATTTGAAATATTTGAACATTTTAATAAATATTACCTTTCTTGTAATTTATTACAGTGTAATTTTGGTTACAACTGGATATTATCCAAATACATTCATAAGAGATGATACAAACTTATGAACTCGAACGCCTCGTGGAAGAATGGCATAATTGAAGTTATGGCAAAAATGTTTATTGCTCTATTAGATACAGAAAAATATAACCCACATCCTCTGAAATTCTTGTAACTCTATCAACTAATATTGTCGATGTGGATGTGGATTATGTTCTTCTGTATCCAATGGACCTATGCCATTCTTCCATGAGGGGTGCAAATTGATGATATAATTTTTACATTGCGCTCATAATTACAGAACCCAAAATCGGCCTTATCAAACATATTATCAAAAATCGATAAGAATACGTCACCAGAAAAATCCAATATCGAAGTCTCCGTAAGTGTTGAAATAGAAAGAGATACACAGGATGAATATACCAATGCTAACTTGCCGTATAGAAAACCAGAGAGGAGAATCTTTACAGAGTGTCTTCTACCAGAGGATACCTTAAAAGAGGAAACTATGAAACTTGTGGAAAGTTCTACAAGCACTCCGGATAAAATAATTGAAATTGAAATACGTAACAATTGGGGTAAATTTGTGCAACCTGGAGAAGAACAAAATGATGAATATGAATCAATGATTCAGACAGCGCTTTGCAGCTTTAAACAGTGGAATTATCAATCGAGAGTACGTGAAAGCATTTTGGCATACAAGTGTTACATTTGTAACATTGGGTGGTGGCAACTGACACATTTTAGGGCCCATATAAAACAACACAAAGACATAAAAGTGAATATTGAACCTTCTCATCACGAATGTTATATTGTTGCCTTCTATAGTGAGCAGGGATCGATGCGAGCAGTCCAAATTGATGGAGTATGTCGTTATTGCCTGAGAGCATCAAGTGAACATGAATTTATGAAACGAAATATCATGTCATATTTTTGTGAGGGTTGCGATGGACGGTTCTTCACCTGTGCAGCCCTCTTTAGCCATGAAGGAACTTGTGGACGGTTTCAAAAGATACTACTACAGAATAATATACTAAATGATTACTCTACATGCCAAATTTGCAACACAAACTGTCTGACACAGGCCAGATTCGAACAGCATTTAATTTTAAGGCATTCTGTATATTCCGATGAACCTTTGTCTTATTTCTGGCCTGCATCCCGGGCCTGTCATAAATGTAGCTTAAAGTTCTTCATGTATTGTATACACATATGTCCTAAAAAATTTGAAAATATATCGTGTGTGCATTGCTACAGAAAGTTTCAGCATGCGTGGATGCTGGATATCCATCTAGCTACGAATAATAGTACCATTAATTGCAGAATATGTAACAAAGGTATAAAACAATGTAGCGAAATTGAACATATGTTGAAACATACTGACACATATAAATTGGCATATAAATGTCAAAGATGCGAGAGAAACATTCTGTTCCCCAATGATCACTCAGCAAGAAAACATTGTGAATTACAACATTATTTAAGATGTGAAATGAAAATGAAAGGATTCCTTTTGGTAAGTATAATTTTTAACTGACTTCAAAAAAGGAGGAGGTTCTCAATTTGACTGCATGTTTTTTGTGTGTTTGTTATGGCATTTGTGAACCGTTTATGATGATTATTTTTTTTATTGGAAAGAGAGTACTTCATTATTGGTCCCATTTAAATTAGAAGAAAATATTCCATGTGTAAGGTGGCATACTAGGGGATGAATCCGGTGTCGCGTACTTTCCAGTAACCGATTGCTAACTTTTTATTCAGTTTGTATGTACATATAACCAAATAGAAGAAGGTTCAAAACCTGGAAAGTGTGCAGATCCGTGCCCAGCAGTGGGACGATTGATAATGATGATGATAAAAACATTAAAATTTTGTTCGTTTCAGGTTCTAGTGCCTAGACAAATATTACTTGACCACTCTCACCTAATGGACTTGTCAGGTAAAACACAAAACAACTATATCAAATTATATGTATATACAAAGTGTTACAAAAAGGGTATACACTGTATGTATGTCATTCAAAAGCCCTGATATCTGCCTACAGTGCCAAACACTGTAGAGAAACTGTCATTGGACAGGAATGGCATAAGTATGCACACTAGAGCCTTAACAGGGCATTGTGGCTTGAACAAGCACATGTCAAATATTGGGCAGAGAGAGAATAGAGAATGTACATTCTGCCACAAGGCACTATGGAAAATGATAGAACAACGGCATATCAAAAATACTTTTTACTTAAGTCGTTATAGACGCAATTTTTTTTTTTTTTTTTTTTTTTAATTGTATTAAAGTGGTACTTTAATATAATGTAGAAATTTTGCGTGAATTGCATTTCGAATACATATTTTTTCATGTGAGAAATTGTAATTCGTAAGAAATATTTCAGGTCTTGTTCGCTTCAATACTTTAAATTTCATTTTTTTCAACAACTTGTGCGAATATATATAAAGTGTTATGCATGTCTAAAAAGCCCATAGTATATAGATTTTAAAGCAATTATAATGTTGTGGATTGTTTGATTATTTTTCTATAAAAAAAATTTACAAAAAGTGAGGGAAAAAAAGGTACGTATTTGAAATTCATCGAGACTTTTGACAGTTACTGATGTGTCCCGGTGCTTTACATTTGGTGTTGTTTTATAGCTCAGATATTCATAAATAACATTTATAAAAATCAGCTGCGGATACGTGCGGTTTTAGAAGTTATCGCGAAAACTACGATATAAGAAACGGAAAACCGCTATCTATAGTGGTTTCTTATGTTGTACTATTGAATTGATTAGTTTGCGGTATATTTCAATAAATTATAGGTATTTAACATTTTAACAGGGCGTTTTGTCTACATTTTGCATTTATTTTGTGGTACTACTTTAATCAACAAAAAGCACACTACCCTCATTTATGAAATTATATAAGCAGAGTGAATTAATTTAATAAAGCTATTACAAATTGATAATAAAACTAAACAGACGTTTGATTGTTACGTATCATCACTGAATTTCAAAATGTCAAATTCTTTCAAGTGTTCCAAGCGTGAATTATTACTCTTACATTGAAGGAGGAAAAAAACTTGAAACCCTATCAACAGTTTTAAAAGGCATTTGCAATGCCTATGTTCAGGGCTTACGTTCAATAGGAGAAGAAATAGAAGCAAAACTCGTGGAAAAACTAAGGCTTGCTGACCGTGATGATACAAAGTCTCTATATTTGAATCTCATAGAAAACGCAAGCGAAAGCAAAGGGCAAAAAATCAAGAAGCATTGAGTGTTTTCATTGACTTAGATTTAACGAAAGCACAATATATATATGTACTTAAGGAATTTAACAACCGAACGTGACTGTGTTCTATTCCCACCATTTTATAAAATACAAGAAATCAAACAGACATGTTATCCACCATCTACAGCAATAGAAATTACAAATACACATGCAAAAGTACTAAACCTTCAAGATTTATTGGACCACACTGTAGCTAGGATTTTGGCCATAGATTCGGTGTATAAGAATGGATTGTGTCCATTGACTTACAAATGAATGGACGACGGGTCTAATACAAAAACCACGAAAAAATGTCCCAAGTCAACCTATTTAAACGTAGTCACATGTAAAGGAATATGAAAAAGCTAAAACGTTGAATTTAAATTGTAATGTCATCGCAGTACTGTCTAATTTTGCTTGCTTCGCTATCAGTCGAACAAACGAAGACTAAAGCGTGAATGACGCTCTGTATTCTATTTTAACGCCCTATAAGTTCGGACACTTTTTAGCGCGGACCCGACGTCCATATAATTGTAAGTCAATGATTGTGTCATTTAGTTTTATACAGTAAATGGGGATGTGATGGTTCATCTGGTCAAAGTCAGTACAAACAAAAACTTCCAGAGGAGTCTGAACTTGTTTCTGATGCAAATTTGTTTATTACGTCGTTAGTGCCTATTAAATTAGTCAATGAGCTTACTGGCGACATTGTCTGGCAAAATCCAGTGTCTTCGTCAGTCCGTTTTTGTCGGCCCATATCGATAGAATTTTGTAAAGAAACTCCTGAAAAAACTAAAGCTGTTGTTGATGAAATAAAGAACCAAATAATTTCCTTGCGGCCATCATTAATTAATAAAGAAGGTGAAGGAGTGAATGTGAAGCACGAACTCTTTCTGACTATGATAGATGGCAAAGTAGCTCAAGTATTAACAGATACACCATCTCGATCCACGTGTACAATCTGGAGCTACTCCACGGCAAATGAATGATCTGACTAAAGTCACTAGTAGGCCAGAAAATGAAAATGCATATCAATACGGACTTTTACGGAAATCAAATAAAAGCTATTTCTGAAATATATTTTTTCATTTCTTTTCAAAAATAAACATACTCTTATAAAAGTATAGCATCTGAACTTTAACTAAAGCAATATTTAATACTCTATGCTTGTGCAAAAATTCAATAGTCTATCTTAACAAATAAGAAAGTTATTGATTTTTGATCTGAAACAGACCTCGATTTTCCATAGTGCAAGGCTGCAAAACTCCTGTTCATCTACTCACCCTATGCTTCCCCCTGATGGGCGTACGAAGCTCCATACTGGGAACGCCCATACCATCAGAGCCTGGAAAGTCCTTCAGTTCTTCAATGCTGTCAGCCTTGGCTCTGCACTGTGATTAGTGGTGATCACAATAGATCAGTCAATGGTCGCAGTGATGAGGGGATGCATAGACCCTGAGTGAAGCCACCCTAATATTAATAATAATAATGATACAGATCACCAAAAGTTCCATTTTTTTCTGTTTCTCGTAGACCCCCTTCAATTGCTCCAATTGATATCTTTCATTGATACTGTTGAATTGGTCCAGCGCCAGTCTTGTGCGAGTTTTTGATTTCAGATTAGATTTTAAAATATTGTCGTTAATAATGCAGCAGAAAATAGAGTCAGGTATCTTATTTATTGAGTTGGTACATTTGATCATAATACTCTTTTCGCTACAACCTGTATATATTTTCTGTCTAGTTTCTATTAAGATCTGTAATGTCAAAGAGAAAAAACAACCCGGGGTGAAAATAAAATATACCCAGGGCATCAGAAATAAATTAAAAGAAAATAAACGTTAAAAGATGTGATCATCGTTGATTAAAGCTTTGAGAGACTCCATGTAATCTAGTGTTAGAACCACTTTAAGACTGGAGATGTCTAGAATAATTAGCTAGGATTTTCTCATCGCTTGTTGCTTAGGATTCTGTTATGTAGACATACATAGACCGATGCTACAGCACAACTAGATGTACACTTTTGTCGTTATCGAAAAGAAGAATTCTTATCAATATTTTTATTGCCGATATTAGTTGTGTTTTTTTCGTTTTTTTTTATGACACTAAGTGATGGGCGAACAAGTCGTGTGCCTGTCCATAACAGTTGCAGCGCCACTCAGAACAAATCTCAAAGATCTGAGGTGCACTGCCTCTGCGCCTGTCACCCTGAGATATAAGTTGAAAAGTCCCATGTGCCTGTAATTTCACCAGCGCCCTTACCCTTCCAAAGCTGAACGCAGCAATGCTCACGTTACTGCTTCGTTCAATAAATAGGTATGGTGGCAGTACTTCCCTGGATGTAAGATGTAAAAGAGTTCTTTTACTAAGAGTCTCTACTCTACTGCTGCTGAAATTTAGTTCGTTAATTCATAAAAATTTCCCATATTCACATTGAAATATCAAGTTAACTGACACTGACATTCGACGACCTCCGTGGTCGAGTGGCTTACGTACCGGTTTTCATGGGGTCGCTTTGTCAATGTTGAATAATTAACCATACAAATTTATATTAATTGTCAATGCCAATGTAGAAAAATTAACTATATATGTATATTATATTAATGTATATTTATATTAATTGTCGATGTCAATGTAGAAAAAATTAACTATATGTATTATATTAATATATATTTATATTAATTGTCAATGTAGAAAAATTAAATACATATATTAATTTTGTGTCGGGTTTGGGTGTATGTGGTGGCGTCATAGTTACCGATGTCCATAACATAAGTGCTTTAGTTACTTTAGGATCAGAATATTTATTGTAAAATTTATAATAAACTACCGGAAAACATGAAGTCATTAGCATTATTCAAAAAGAAACTGACATCGATATTGATTGATATATGTTATTATACTATTAATGGTTATCTACATGACAACTTATAATTATTCAATTCAATGACATTTTGTATCATGTTTTTAATATTTTAACTTATATCTGACTGATATTTCTTTGATAGAATTTTATTTTGACATTTTAACGGAATTACTTTTATTTTAATATTTCTATGCTGCTTGTTGGCAAAATGTGCTGAACATTTTAAATATTGTAACATCTGCTTATATTGTACCATATTTACAAGAAATAAATGATATTCTATTCTAATCTATTCTGTAACACCTGTTCTTATCTTTCTCATAAAATTTTATTGTCTTTGCTTGCAGTCAAAGTACGGAATGAACCTGCGAAATCAACTGAACAACCAATAATACCCGAACTAGTGCCAATTAAGAGTCGTCCAATAAAACTTCCGCAACTGAACGTGGCGAAATCAAAAACAGGCTTGGTTAAACCTATCGTTAATAATCAAATGAAAAATCTGGAAGGCGCCTGCAGTAAAAGTATTCAGGACCAAAACCGTAAAATAATTACGAGAGAAAACGTACAAGAATATTTATTGAAAGACCTAATGGAACAGGAGAAAGCACTTGACGAGGAAACAACACTTGAACACGACAAAAAAATACTTGATCACGATTATATCAGGAATTCATTTCGTTGTAATAATGCAGAATATATGATTGATGATATTAAGCAAGAACCGAAAGACCAACGCCGTAGTGATTTACTAAAAGTCATTAAAAAAGAAAATATAGATCAAGATTATTTGAATGAAGATAAGAAAGATATAACAGTCAAGCAAGATAAAGATAACTTGCACATTGTAAGGATAAAAACTGAGCCATTAGACAATATAGTACTTTACCCGGATTATAATATGACTAACATTGCAGTAAAAGAAGAAAAGGTTGAAAATGACTTGTCAAATGTGTTCCAAGTGTCAAAAGATATTGCAAATGTATTTCAAGCTTCCACAAGAATCACTGGTGAAGTTCAAGAATTTGTTAAGGAAGAACCAATGGATGATTTTGATTATGAGGATGACATTATTATGTTAAGTAATGAGAATTTCACTATTGTAGAACATCCTTTAATCAAATCAAATGAAGATTGTTCTCGTGAAGATAGTTCAGCTAAAATACAGTCGAATGAATTTCAAGAAGATCTGTCAAAATTTGAACCCGAAATAATTGTTACAAACCAAAGCCCGAGTAAAATGATTGAACCTGATTTGAAAATTGCTGCAAAGAAGCAGAGTAAAATTTTTAGCTCTGACATAAAGATTGTTTCAAATAGAATTTTGCTTAAAACTAATGATGATAAAACTAAAAAAGAAAGAACGCCAAAAGGTGCGAGGTGGTATAAGTGTAACAAATGTAACTACCAAAACATATTCCGTGAATTTAAAAAACACACTCTTCAATGTCGGCAGACGCAAAAGTATACTAAAATTACAAATGAAGATGAAAGTGAATTAGCCAAAGAAAGTCTATGGGATCAGTACTATTGCACAAAGTGCAATTGTATATTCTTTACTCTAAAAAAATATATTTTACATTTTATTTCACACAATGTGAAACAAGGATCCTGCCCAGTTTGCGCGATAAATTTACCGAATGTTACTCAATTAGGAATGCATTTTATATCCCATGTAAAACAGTCTTACGTTAAAGACGTACAGAGCTTGAAAGCAAACGAAGAATTGAAAAAGAAAAACGAACAATTAGTGACAGAACATGAAGAGTTAATGAAGAAAAACGATGACTTAATTAAATCAAATAAAAAAGTGATTAATAAAAATGAAAAATTAATTAATGATAATGAAAAATTGATGTACAACGAGCTGTCAATGGAAGAAGATATAGATTTATTGAAACAAAATGAACAGCTATTCATTGCTAATGAGAAATTAGCTACTAATAATGTGGCGTTAAATTCACAAAATGAGGAATTGAGATTAAAAATTGACGAATGTAATGCAATATGGCGAGGAATTGGCAAATGTTGCATGTATAAGTGTAAAGATTGTCAAGAGAAAGTTTTATTGAGAGACTCATTCCGCCATTTTGAAAGTCATTTAATACTTGAACCTGCTACAAGTAAACCTGACAATGATGAACAAATAAATCGAAAAAACGGAATTGTCGATGCGAGCATCTTGTCACCAGAAATAATTCATAAAATCATTGGTAAGCAAACTTTTTTTTATTGGTAACTTTGATAGACGATTCCAAAGCACGAATCAACCATACACGCTCCATGACACGGGTTTACACATGGTTTACATTGAGGAAGTTCGATCGAATAAAAATTATTTGAACAGCACGTGTACCCGACGATTCGGGTCTCTAAAAGATTCAATCATTTTTGTACAACACAGCGCGGGACATGAATTTCGCTTCATATGTATAATTTTACAAATTTAATTTTAGAGCGCTACTGACAATATTTTATTGTTATACCATTCGTTCCCACGTGAAGTCCCTTCGCCCCGGTTCGCTACCACACTGGAGATGGAAGAGACTCCTTATTAATTTTAAACGTTTAAACGTTGGTATTTTTTAAATAAGTGTGCCTAAAAATCGCTTACAGGTACCTTTACAGCTACCAGCAGCTGACTAGAGATGTAGTTTTGATTTATTTATTTTTGGAATGTTTGCAGCAAATTTTTAATAATTAATATATGTTGAGTAGCAGGTGATTAGAAATCTCCACAAAAATTGTAATTTTTAAGTTTGTTGAATGTCACGATGTCATAAACTGAGTGAACAAATAGATTTATCGCAAATGGCGCTACGGCAATAAAAAAAAAACAAAAAGAAAAAGAAGAATTAAAAACCAAAAAGAAAAAGAAGAATTAAAAACCAAAAAGAAAGATCTGGCAACAAATAGAAAAATTCGTAAGGTCCGCTAGTTAGTTCCATGGCTTAGTTGGCATAGCGTCTGGCACGATGTGGTGGAAGACGTTGGTTCGAATCCAGCCGGATTGAAGAAATTTTTTCTAAGAGTTCGATAGTTGTATTAAAAATTATAACCCGTGATCGAAATTGAGGGAATGAATTTAGCACAACTAAAGAATAATGTGGACATTGCCTTTTACAAATCCCGGAACTTCTGGAAACTGGTTGCATTTGAATATGCGTATTATCCATTGAAATTTGAGTACCTACATTGGCGACAAATAAATATATATAAATTATATGCTACAAATCATTGTAATTTTTCTTATTTTTAATAATATCAAGTAACGGGACGAACAAGTTGTGTGTCTGGTGGTAAGTTACATGCCTGTCCATACCAGTTGCAGTGCCACTCAGAGTTAAATCACAATTGAGAGGCACTGCAACTGCGCCTGTCACTTTGAGACATATGTATGTATACGTTGACAAGTTCCATGTGCCCGTAATTTCACCAGCACCCTTACCCTTCAAAAGCGGAACGCAGTAATGATCACATTACTACTTGGCGGCAGAAATAGGTGACACAAGGAAGTTCTACTGCTATTAAAAAAGTACTTATCAACGTATTTAAATTTAAAAAATAATCATGAGACAACCTTTTTATCTTGAAAAAAAAATTTTACGTATTTATGACTAAATAGGTATGTCCATGTTAAGAAAACCTTCTGATCACTGATTATAACTATACGCCGTCCAACCATTTATTTAACTTTTGACATATGCATGCCTTCGAAGTTCCGTAATTATTGACATACAACCTAAGACAAAAAGGCAATACTTCCTGGCCTCTTTCATTTTTTAATTTTAGTGAAGAGACGTGCTCTTTAGCTCCGATATTTATCGAGCCAACAGATCATGTAGCGAAGATTATTCAAGTTGATAAATTTTGGTACGTGTCTAATAAATTATTATGAAATTAAATAAATTATAAATAAATATAATAAATTCTTATTGTTTGTTATAATGAATAATCGTCGGATACTTCTCCATATGAACGGGAATCATTACTTGAATCTTCATTAACATTAATTCTTGAGAACACAAATTGTCAAACGCAACATCACGATCCCAATCAGACAATATTTCCCTTTTGAACTCGCTCACATTGATGATTAAAAGTTCTTCATAAATAAAATCGATTGTTATAAAAAATCGAATCAGAAACGCACTAGCACATCACTAATTGATTAGTATTCGAGCTAATTAAATTTTTATTGAATTGATTCGAACACTCAGAAAAAACGCTCAGAAAAAATTCCTTCGATCCGGTCGGATTCGAACCGACGTCTTCTTGCATACCGTGCCAGACGCTATACCAACTAAGCCACGGAATGAACCAACGGACTTCACGAATTTTTCTGTATGCTTGCGTCGTGTCTTTGTACTTGGTCTTTCAACGACTTTTTAGTTTTTAGTATTCGAGCTGTCAAAAGTTAAATAAAGTGTAGTGGAGTAATTTGACAAAAATAATTGAATGTCGTCATGGTGGTCATATATCATTACATTCAATAAACTTAAAAATTTCAATAAAATTATCTTTTATTCCTGGACTCTTTTATCTTTTTGTATCTCGCTATTTGTTTTTGATTGCGTTCTTTCATAATGTATTTTATCTTTACGTTTTTTTTAGACATCCTGAAGGCCCCGAAGGCATCTTTCGTCCATTCTCTTTTAAAAAAATGTGTAGTTTGCGAACGCGTATTCGACCGTCGAAACGACAGCAAACGACATTTAATCGAACATATGTTGAGAGACGCTTATGCCAGTCTTCATGAGCACCGTGCTCTGCAGTGTCAGCTGTGCCACATGAAGTTTGACAAGGTAATTTCTGTAAGGAACCTTAACGGCGCGTTCCCATTTATTGTTGGACGACTGTCGCGTCTAGCCCGTTCCCATATCACGACTGTCTGTCTTACTGTATCGTGGACGTTCATTTTGTCGTTGAACGACTGTCGTGTCTACCTGTTCCCAGTAGACTGTGACGACAATTTATCGGTTGCACGAAAGAATCGTTTGAGGCTGCAATTATCTGTCGTCACATTTCTGCCGTGACGTTATATTTATCATCGGACGACTGTCGTTCTAGCTTTTCCCATTGTCACGACAGCCTGTCGTCGTAACGTCAAAAAGTCAGTTAATCGTGTTCTTCTATCTGTGAACAACTTCATTTAAATATACAAGCCACGACACTAAAATGCACGACTATCTGTCGTCACGACATAATAGAACGCGCCATAAGTGAAAGGAAACTAAAAAAAATGATAAGTAATAATTTTTACTACAGAGAGAGTGATGCAACAGACCTCTGCTTTCGCTTCCGTAACCGCGAATGTTCCGCATGCTTTTTCACATCTCTCCGTTTCTGCTTCCGCAACTTTTACAATGGAACTTTTATCGGAAGTTTATAACTTTATCGATAAATATTCCATCGACTATTCACTGAATAATTATCACGCATAAGCTATAAAAAACCGAACTTGTGTCTTTTGAATCATCAATCTGCCAATTATTCATCCAACTGTTGTGCACAGGTTCCTTTGAGTTGTCAATTTTTGTAAGGTAATTCATGCATACACTACATTTAGAACTATGTCTACTAAAAATACAAAGAGAAGACATTTTGAAGTTTTTAATTTCAATTTAATATACATAATCAAATCCGCCTGTCGTTATTAAAATGTATATGAATTAAAATATGATCAAAATTGATTTCGATACTAGTAGGCCAACTGGCGAAATAAGAATAAAGAAGGTAAACATTCACAAATCAGACATTTTTACAAAATTTTACCTTCTTTCACAATCTATCGATAAAACTGCCGACGACAACTACATGACTATTTAAAATTTTATGAAAACTGTCAACCCTGCAAGTTTAACTCCGTCTTCGCCTAAACCGCTGAACCAATTTTGGTGAATTTTAGTATAAGAATAGATGTTAGGTTACCATGCAGGTCTGCCACGCGGAGGTCCCGGGTTCGATCCCCGGCCGGGTCAGTTTAGAAAAACGAACTTATCTATATTGTCTCTGTACACCGTCGTAGTTTCAGCTTTCCATGAAACAAACTACTGTGGGATCAGAGCAACATATGTAATGATGTGTATTATGTGTTTCTTATTAATTGTGAATGTCTGGGACTTTGATACACTGGTCTTTTCCAGTCGGGCCTGTACAAACAGCACATGCGAGACCACGCTGGGCTGCCACTCTACAAGTGCGAGCTCTGTGACAAGTCATTCAGCGATTCGTCGAACTTTGCCAAGCACAAGAAAGTGCACAACTTCGAAGTTTTGATCTGTGACATGTGCAAGAAAAAGTTTCATTCCAAGCATCAAATACAGAAGCATATGGCGGTTAGTAATTTCGTTTTGTTTATTACACTATGTAATAGATGTTTTTATATTTTAAGATGCTGAAAAGGGTCGATGATCTTGAGCAATCGATGTTTTAAGCTACGCCTACTATATTACAATTATGAAATGAATTAGCTACATAGGTCCATCTAGCAACGCGTCTCAGCTATCACTGCCGACCTTCGTATGCGTAAAAGAGAAGAAACTAACAGTTTGCGCGCTTCTTAAAAAAGGCGTCCATTTCCGAAATTAGGTTCAAAATAGAAAAAATAAACCAACTACGGTCCACAACAGCCGTTCTAGCTATTCCCACTGTGACGACAGTTTGTCGTTGTAACGATAAAAAATCGTGAACGACAGGTAATCGTGTCGTGCTATATATGAACAACTTCATTTAAATATACAAGCCACGGCACTGTAAACTGCACGACAATCTGTCGTCACGACATAGTGGGAACGCGCCCTAAGCAAACATAGACTATTCACAAATCTGTATTTGATTAATAACCTCATTTTTGAACTATCATTTTTCAAATAAAATTTTAATATGTTGTTCGAATTAATATTGCTGGAAAAACTGATGAGTTATCAATGAAATCTTGAAAATATACGTGAAGCTATTACTTATTTAATTTATTGAGTGATTGCTTTAGAGCATAGTTTCCCAAAGTGGTCCATACCGCCCCTTAGTGGGCGCTGAAGAGTTTTAGGTGGGCGATAGGGGCCGCGGAAGCTATTGGGGGGCACTATCCAGGAGGTGCTACCGCATTTGAAAAAAAACCTGAATTATCTATATAAACTACCTTGTGATTTTTTGTATTAATATTGGTGTTGAAATTATTTTATCTTGCCTAAGTGGGCGGTTATGCCAAGAAGTTTGGGAACCTATGGTTTGGGGTTTTAACCAAACCGGTTTATTTACTTTTCTGGCTTATCGGATTGGAACAGACGTTACATAAGTAAAGTTACCATAGCAGCCAGAATCAAAAATCTATATAAAAATATACCATAAAACAATTCATTCACAAATTTTCAAAAATTCAAAGACAATTCTCGTAAAAAAAGCATATTATTCAGTCACAAAATTCATGCAGAATAGTGACCTCTTACAATATGATCTCGATGTATAAATAGCCTTTGTTTATAATACCTAATCCAAACAAACATTTCAGTGACGGAAATTAATGTTACATGTTATAATAAAATAGACATACATCAGTACAGAGTACTAAAAAACCGACCTCAAAAGTCACTCATCTCCTAGGTTGCCACCTTTAGAGGTGGAATATTTTTTCAAATTTCAATTTCATGAAACAGACTAGGCATGCCATAGTGTTGATGAAACGCGTTGAAAGATGTTAAAAATTCTCCGTTATCGGTTTTTTTTAATATTACCACATATTCAACATCATGCACTTGTAAATGCTTTCATTTGTGTAGCTAACCGTTGAGGGTCTTCGACTTGAAGTAATAATCAGCATTGTAGTCGTACCAGTCCAGGACTTTCCTGTCAAACCACACGTAAGCGCCCTTGAGGTTCTGCGGCGCGTCCAGCACCAGGTAGATGGGCGTCTCTGCCGCCTGGTCGGCGCTGTAAAAACCCACCCCTTGAGTCATATCAGTGCGCACTAGACCTGGGTGCATCGAGTTTACAGAAATATTTCTCGCCGCGAGCTCGTTCTGCTGCAACATCGTTAAGGCGCTCAACGCCACCTTTGCCACCCGATAGGCCGCAGCGGTGGCATCATCAGCGAGCTCTTCCTTCTTAAAAGTCCCATTTCTTGACTCCTTGAGAAACCATTCAACGAATTCATTGATATCATTCACAGTCATATCTTGTCTCGACAGTCGTTCGATCCAATACTTGTTCCTAACGTTGGATAGGTGCCCGCAGTCGCTCGAGATGTTCAAGATGCGTCCATTGTTCCTGACCAAGGGAAACAGCAGCTCTTGAATAGTCAGGATGCTTTTATAATTGATGTTGATGATTTCCTCATTCTCCTCGTGGGAGTTGTACAGCTGTGCGCTGTTGGCGATGGCTGCGTTGTTGATTAGAATGTCAATGCCGCCGTGGCTGCGCTTGATGTGCTCGCGAAAGCGCAGAACGCTTTCTCTATCGGTGACATCCAGCTGATGGTATTCAGGATTAAGGCCGAGTTCTTTAAGCTGCGAGACAGCCGTGCGCCCGCGCTCTTCGCTGCGTGACGTAAGATACACCACGCCGTCGTACCTCCTCAACAGTCCCTTCACAATCGCAAAGCCAATTCCCTTGTTGGAACCGGTTACAACAGCTACTTTCTTAGACATGGTGTTCTAATCGACGTTCGTTTATACAATGCGAATAGATCGCTCAAATGATGCTATTTCATTTTGTACGTCGACCCCTAGATAACGTTATCGGAAGGTCTGTTCATTATTTTTAACGATGCCGATAACGTAATCGGACATATAAAGTGTTTAATCATATGCTTTCAAAAACGTTCAAACCGAGTTTAAAAGGTTACACAAGGCGACTTTTAGCAGCAATGCAAACGCGATTAACTTTTTAAAGTAATTAACTTATTTATTTATTTAATGTATCTATTAATTTAACTTTTAAATTTACAATTAACAAAACAAAACAATGTCCATAAACCTATATAATTTTTCGTCGTTGCAGTCGCGCATTTACATCGATGCAGTCGCGCGTTTCCATCGATGCAATCGCCTTTAAAGGTTTTCTAAGTACAAACATACACCTGATATTGCAGTATGCACTACGTGCTACTTTTTCAGCTAAGACTATTTTAATTATATTCAAAAACATTTTTTCAGACAAATAAATATTTTTGTATGTATTTTGCCACATCTGACAGTGACACCTGTCAAAAGCTCAAGATACTAAATTATATTTGTGTGAAAATTACATAAAATTTTTATACATTTAACTGCCTATGTGGCCGAACAGTTACCATGTCGGACTGCCACGCAGAGTTTCCTACATTATGGCTTACATTTATTTCTCTCGTGCGTATGCGTGTAATTTGTGGTCGTCTATGTAAGTGTCGTGCGGGACTATGTTGAGTATGTGCGTTATTATTAAAAAACAAATATATAATTCATGCTAAATAAAACATTAAAAGTTATATATTTTTTTTATGAACGAAAAATACTATAACGAAAAATAGGTGTGTCGCGCGCCCGCGTACTGCGCGTAGTACGCGGG